GCTAGCACCACCGGCCTCTTGTCCCCTTACATGTTGACAACTTCACCAAACAAAGCCGACATACAACGAATTCTTCAGATCAAAATACAGCCGAACATCGCTGTGCTATTATAAACGTCTGTTGTCTGTGCTTGTTTACATCTGGGTGGTAGAGTCACCAAACTAAAGCTGCAGCTCTGGCTTGTGGCGAGTGGCATACAACAGATAATCAGCATTTCAGGCCTTCAATAGTAAAGGTATTAACAACTTTTAACCGACCTAATGATTGGACCAAGTGTGCACAATCCTGTTTGACATTGTAAGGAGTTGATCACACATTTGCACTCGACCAATAAACGAATTTCTGGCTTTTTCTAAAAGCTTAAAAACAAACTGTTGGTGTTCAATGATTTTATGTTTATGTAAGATTTAATAACCCTTTCAGTCATTGAGAGTGGCATAGATTGAATCATATCAGGCTCGTTACAGTTATACATGATCTGGCAGTCTTTGCTGGATTGTGGGTAACGGGTTTTAAGTGTCTCAGAGTCAGTTTACTTTCTCGATTTCTGTGCGTTTGATTGTTGTTTGGAAACGACGTGACAGGTTAACAATGATTGAGGGAAATGCTAGGAACATTTGTCACAATTTGTTGCGACTAAATCGAATTAGCAATCGATCACGATCCGATGACGTCTGTAATACAGTCTAATTGCGAATGAAAATAATAGTTAGCTGCAGCCTTTAAATCAACATTTCATATAATAACGTTATATTGAGTTCAGCCGTACTGGAATGAATTTCAATCGTCTGTATTACTGAAGTAATGTGATGCATTAGCTGAGCAGCTGTCTGCCAGCAAAGGTCACCAGCCACAGTCCTCCAGATAAAAGACAGTTTCACCTTTCAGTTTGCTTTTCTTCTGCCTCCGGTCTTTGAGCAGAAGCCGTCCAGACAATAAACTTGATACTGGAGGTACATCGTCTGCCCGGCTGGGACAGATTCAGTGTCCCTCGCTCTGTCTGAAGGCTTTGACACTGGAAGTTACAGTTTATCATCAAGGATTTGATTTCCAGACAGAGCCAAAACACATTCCTCCGCTTCATCATCAGTCTGTCTCTCAGCTTTATCAAAGGCCACCGCCGTGTTTTGACGGATGTTCCTCTCTGTTTGAGTGTTTTTTTCGTGAGATTTAAACAACCGGTCATCCTACATGCTGTGTTTTCTCCACTCTGCTCAAGAAGACTGTGAAAAGGTGGAGTCAGCCCAGGCATGCGGGTCAAACTAAAGGCAACAGGTTTTGTTTTCAAGTAATAGGACAAAGCTGCCCTTTAGTTGAGGTGTGACCTTATGTGGATCTGTTGTCAGGCTGCTCGCCACAGAGCATGAGTTCAGCTTCAATTGCAGCTGGATACGTTTCTATTTCTCTTTAAAGGGCAAAGACTTCAGAAATGATGAATGAGCTGGTTCAAAATTTGTGAACAAGACATGAAGTTTCTGGGCAGAGGTTTTATTCCCCCGGCGTGTCTGCGGAGAAACCGAAGCTTCACTCTCAGCTTTTTTTGTACAAGGCCAACAAAATAGACGTTGATTTCTTTTTGGCAGCTCGATAGAGCATTTCTTTTTCAAAGTTTGCCTGTTGCTGCTTTTAAATAACTTTTGGTAATTGAGAACAGAAGTGACATTTAACTAAATATATGTATGCCTGGAGATCTCCCTGTGGCCTTGGCTGGAACCGGCCTGAATGCATGACATAACAGGCTTAAAATGAGCAGTTTTCACTCTAATTGTAAGAGTGGGTTTTGTATTTGGTTAACAGAAATGCACAATATTGTTAAGTTTAAAGGCAGGGGTGAATATAAATAAGAAAAGGATTGTCCAAAACTATGAAATAAGTGGAAAACAATAATGTTCCTTTCAGTGTCTGATGGTGAACACAGTTCAATTTCAAGAAAACCAACTAATGCATTTTTATGAAGTTGCTGAGGGAGCTTTGCGGCTTTTTTTCCTCTCTTTTGTGTTGACTTTTTGACTGTTGCAGATAGGGCGCCCCTGCTTATTGGGGTTAAAGGACGCTAAATGAAAGCGGTCCCCCCGTGCCTTTCATGTGGTGCACGGTCGTGGAAAACTCGCCTCAGATTAGGGCCACGTTTGAGAAACCGACAGAGGAAAAGAAAAGGCTCCCAGTGTGACGCATCAACCCCAGTTGAGCAGATGAGGAGAAACAGCAGCACTGGTGCGGCGGCAATGATGACTCAGCAATCCGAGGGCTGCCTCTGTCTCCACACCACCGACAGCGATAGTGTGTGTGTGTGTGTGTGTGTGTGTGCATGCGTGCTCGCCTGCCTACATGCCTGTGTGGGCACACATAACTCATTCATATTATTGTTATCCCACGCAATAAATAAATCTCATACATGATGACACTCAAGCTTGTGTAATAGCAGCTCATAAAGAAAGAGTTCATGCAAGTTTGAACTCATTTATGAAGGCAAATGAGTAACCTGTAATAACTTGATTTAAAATATTCATTAACTTTTAAAAAACAACAGGTTTATGGTGTTGATCCACCCTATAGACTGATCTTTTGGACATACAGTAGTTTTATGCGAACTCATTAACCCTTAGGCGGCAGCTTGAGACCACGTGTTGTATATTCTTGTTCAAATTAATCTAAAAATGTGAAATACCCTTTTTGCAACATAAAGCTGAGACCTTTGTGCTTTCCATTACTGTCAATGTGATCTTTTCGTGCAGGGTGAAACAGGGGCAGCAAATCTAGGCCAGCAGCAAACTGTGACTGATGACCCCTGATGTTATTCACATTGTTCATTAATGAAAAACAGTACAACAGAGGACTTACCTCAGGTTTGGTTTGATTATATTATGTAATGTTACGTGCCTGTAAAACGTCGTGATTATGCATTGTGCGGTGGTCTTCCACCATCTGGTCAGCAGAGACTGTAGTTTGTCCATTCCTGTTTGAATTGAGCAAAACCATAAAGGCTTGAGCAGAACTTCCATAACTCAAAGTCTTATTGGGTACTCAAAAATAAGCCGTCTAACACATGGCAGGGCTCAACAGTGTGACTGTTTCACTCACATTTGTGACTAAAAATAGATGTATGCGAATTGTAAAATGTATTTAGGGGCGCATGTAAACAAATCAGCCGTGGCAACAAATGTTTTTTCATGTAAATACCACAGTGAAGTTAGTTTTAGGTTGGATATTAGACGGACATTCAATGCAGATCTACCAGTGTCTTATCGCTCTCAATAACCGGGAATAGCAACAGCAGCGCGGTTAAATCTACTCGACACCCTCACTGTCAACATCGGGTGTTGAATAAGGGACCATCAATAAATTACCGGTTGATGTTCTAAAAAAAAAGGCTGTTTCCCTTCAATACCTTCCATGTCACGCGACCAATTGACCTAAAATTGATTTCAAATAATAGTGCTTAAGTCGACCGATAAGACACACATTATTTGATCAGTTTTTCATTGTGCCCCTAAAGTTCCTTGTGTGCTCCTTACTTTTCAACTTAGGAGCACATGTGCTCCTTGTGAGTGTCAAGCCCTGCATGGACTTAGTCTCAGTGACGACTCTCATATCTCTCTGAAGTATTGTTTTGAAGCCTAGTGGTGACAGTAGCCACATTAGAAGTGCTGACTTGTCCTAACTGTTTGTTGACACGACCAAAAGAGAAGAGTTGAAGTTGAGGAGGCCCTTTAGCCTCTTTGCTAACAGCGACAGTTCTCCTGCCTTCGTCTTCGATTGCGTTAAAACAGTCAGCCCTGCTCAGTTTGTGCAGATAGAGAAATGAGCAAGTCAGTAATCCTGTGACCTGTGGGACAAGGACTAAAGCCTCTGAACATGGGGCGCCTGCTCGACCAGCTGATCTGAACTGGTGCTCTGGAGTTGGATTTCTTCTTCAGATCTTACAAGAGGACTTTTTTTGACACAAATACTTAGACTGATTTTTTTGTGTTATCAAATTCATAACCTGGTAGCTTAGAGGGATCTGAAGCTTTTCAAAACACCTGAAGAATTGACGTCATATTAAGATAAACAGTGATGGCATTATTGGAGCAGTTATGTGGGTCAGGTCACGTCTTTGTAGTGCCTACCTGGTCAGACCAGACATCCCCAAATGGGAAAAGTATGCAAATTAGCATGAAATACTCCAAAAACAAGAAGTAATTCAGAAACTTCCTCTGAATGGAAATGCTTCATGTTTGACCCCATTACTTGATATATTCCCTGGCTTGAATCACTGCTCATTTGTCGCTAAAATAGCAGCGTTAACAGCTAAATTGAAGGCATTATGCGTTCAGGGTTTAACATTCAGCCAGTCTGCTTGTGTGGGTGTGGTTGGCTCATGTGTGATTGACAGCGGTTTGGCATCTTAAGTAAACAACCCCGCAGCTGTCATCACATTTTGATTCAAATACTGCCTCAACTCTGATTGGATGACAAACATGTCTGACATCACTTTTTCCCTGAGTCCGCCCACTGCAAATGAGAAAACTGAGGACAAAGACAGACATCTCAAGAGGCTGATTGAGAAAATATGTGTTCAAGGCCTTTGATCAAATATTAAACATCCTTTTCTGGCGGCCGACAGTTTTTCAGCACAAGGGTATTAATTTTATCTGTTAGCAAACACTGCTGCCGTCAGGTTCAAGACGTCTGCACAGCCCTCCAGGAAACCCCCGTCCTCCTTGGCGTAGGGCAGAAACCTTCGACTCTGTTCTCGCGTTGAAGGTCTCTGCCCATGTGGACTCACGGTTGTGTTTTCATGTGTGAGGAGAGCAGGGGAGTGTTTCACAGCCAAACTGTGGCAGCAGTGTCAGCGGAGATAGAAAAAGGAGGGAGGGCTGAGGGGGTTTGAAAGGGATGAAATTTCAGATTCCTCTGACAGTATTGGATGGCTGGCCAGGAATGCACACCTCGTCTGGGTTGGGAAGAGCTCGGGGATTTGGAATAGTTATCTTGGGTTTGTGTGACGGCCAAGAAAAGAAGTGTGCAGTGTGTTAACACTCTGGCAAATCATTTACAAGGGGGGAAGAAGTCTGAGCGCTGATTCAAGGGATGCTATCTCAATATCTTAATGAGAATTTTGTCTGTTTGGTGTTTCTGAAAACACCAAATTTTGCACCAAGTCGGGTTAAAGGGCAGTTATGCAATCATGTGTTTTAGCCGAAAAGTTTGGGATGATGTCATGTAAGGGTGTGGAGGGGACTTGAATTCGACAACAGTGTGATCAGTGCATGTGACCAGTCCCATGACCACGATGTTGCAATTAAAAAACATCATAAGACTTCATCTGGCAGACCACACTGATATTATCTGGAGTATTTCTTAATAAGGCTCGGTTATATCAAAGTTTTCTGGGTCACTTTTGAAACAAACGGTTGTCTTTTCTTTCTTATGCAAGACATTCTGATTCGTTCCTCGCCTTTTCCCCTGACCAAGCAGTCTCCAGGACATTGTTTCTCAGACAGCGGGAGGCATTTGTCTGCCCGGGATCCAGCGCAGAATCGATTGTGCAAACCCATTAAGCTGAGATCAGATTCTTGCATTGTCCAGCATGTTTTCAAGATCAGCAGAAAGAGCCACTTTTTAAATACTTACAGGAGCTTTTAAGAGAGTCATTCGGAGTTCAGAGGTGAGCGGAGTTTCCTGCAGATTTATGAGGTCCTCTGCTGTTGACAGCTTGTGGAAAACACCTGTTGTGACATCACTGTTAGGGTGTGGCCTAAAGTGGAGCAAGCATGAGAGTTTTGGCTTTTAGAGGTTAGGATAGGCGGTTTGGAAATGTTAATGTGCTTCTCTGGAATTTTTTTTTCGTCGCTTGCATAACAAAATAAGTCGACCCACCCCAGTCTGCCTTTGAATGTTTTCCTGACACAAACAGCTGAATGAAAACTGAATAAATGAATAAAGTCTAAGATGAATGAGTCGTTTCTTAAGTATGCTTGAACGAATAACGAAACAAAGATAAATATTTAATAAAACATTTCACGCCAAATAAAAGTTAATGATTCAATAAAGAGTGTGAACATGTGAAATGGAGCTTTGACATAGAGCAGCTCAGCGGTGCAGTATGATTCATTTTATCCGACCTGAGTACTTTGTTGATATTCACGCCGATGTCTTTGTAATTCAAAACCAAATGTAACCATGGGGACCTCTATGTACATAAGTTGTGAAGCTCCGGCGAAGGTATTAGCTGAAACAAACGTTTCTGGATGTTCAGGGAACTGTAGACAGGCTCAATACTTTTGAGCATGCTAATAGTGAAAATGAAAACATTTCTCAATCTTTGTCTGCTTTTGTAGTCCACTATCTTGGCGCACCAAAACTTCTGAGTAATATTGGTTAATCCTCTCAAAGTGTTGTGTCTTCTGTCAGGAATGCTTCATTTCAGCTACTGTCTCTTTAAGAGCCCGCTCTCCAGGCCCTCTGGGACTTGGCACTTCTGCAGCCTCCTCCATTGTCGCCACGCTACAAAGTAGTCGTCGTCAACGGCTTCAGAAGGGAAGCTCAGACGGCCCTCACCCCAGCCACTTCCACCAGCTCCTCCGGGGGGATTCCCAGGCGCTCCCAGGCCAGGCGAGAGATATAAACCCTCCACCTGGTCCTGGGCTGGCCACGAGGTCTCCCCCCGGTGGGACATGTCTGGAACACCTCAAACGGGAGGCGTCCAGAAGGCATCCTAACTAGATGCCCGAGCCACCTCAGCTGACTCCTCTCAGTGTGGAGGAGCAGCGGTTCTACTCTGAGCGCCTCCCAAGTGTCCAAGCTCCTTACCCTATCTCTAAGGCTGAGCCCGGCCACCCTGCGAAGGAAACCCATTCCGTCTGCCTGTATCCGCGATCTTGTTCTTTCGGTCATTACCCAAAGTTCATGACCATAGGTGATGGTCGGCACGTAGATCAACCGGTAAATCAAGAGTCTCGTGGTTCCCTATTTTAAATGACATTCAAATCCAGTCATAGGAGTCTAGTGAGTGTTTTCTCAAAGTCATCTAATCCTCCACTCACTTATTTTAAACAAATAGATTTAAAAGCCGTCTCGGTAGTTTTGAAATATACCCAATTTACTGCTGCGAGGTCGACATCCTCAGCGAGTTCTTCATCTATTAAAAAGCTCTCTGTGCAAATGAATGTGAGCGCATCTATTCTCAGCGTATATACCTTTCGCTGTGCTGCAGTGTAACCGTTCTGCATCCATTTTCTGATTTGTTAGAAGCTATAAAAACAGGCTTTATTCAATGAATATCCATTTGCATACACTGTAACGGCCCTGAATTTGGAGTTTATGTTCAATCAGATAAAACTGGAGTCAGATGATAACAGATTGCGGGGGAAGTGAGAGCATATGGCCGATGTAACAAAAAGCCTGACTGTCTGGGCCTGAACATTTGCTCTCATAACCAGTCGCTCTTATTGTCCTCATCAGTGTGATTACTCTGAACAAGATGATTGCAGTAACTCCATGCATAATGTAAGAATTGAACAAGAAAGTGCGATGGAAGCATCTGCATGATCGTTGTCTCTTTCACTTTGGGTGAGCCGGTGCATGAGTCAGCTGTTGCCGTTCAGCTCCGCGGCACTTAGCTCTCCTGACTTTGCAAAGACGCTGAGCAGGCTTCCTCCAAATTGGGTCAATACTAAATGAAGAGATGAAGTTTCTTCCAATGAAATGGCCTCTCCGATTTTCTTCTATCATAGTGGAAAGTGTTGTCAGTATTGCTCTTTGTGGCAATCTGTCTGCAGCTAAGAGCAAAGCGCACCAGTTGGCCTTTCCTCCATTAATAGAGCCTCATCAAGGCCACACATGGAAAGCATATTTCACCCTGTGTTGGCTGTATCTTGTGCTGTGTCCCGGTCACTGTTTATGAGTGTGACTGTGGTCTGTGTTTGGGTATGTGACATGGATTTCAGGCTCTACTCCGGCTCTATAAAACGAGCTGTGTAAATTTGTAAGGTGCTGGCTCGGTGCCCGGCGCTGCCCCGACATCTTTACTAAACGTCACACTGAAAGCTTCACTTTGCACATTGCTGTGGGAGTGGAGGCCGCTGCTGTCCCGAACACGACAGATGGTGAGTGCATTAGATGCATTTCACATCCCCCTTCGTTCTTTTTCGTCATGTCTGAAATAGAAATTGGCATCAGCCCCGCATCTGTTGGGAGCTTGAGCGAGAAACAAAATAGTTGGGACTAATGTCCAAGACCACTGTGTGTGGCTGAATTACTTGTAATTTTCTGGCTCAGGTATGCTGCAGGTTGGTCTGGCAGACTTAATCAGCTTTTCCTGAGCCTGTTTTCTCTCCCGCTCCAGTATCCAGTGGAGGTTTCTTTGTCTGCCGTCCTGGTCTTTTGACTCTTTGACAGCCTGAAAAGTAGCAGGATTGTGAGAGAAGAATGACTCTTTGTTTGTGCCACTTGCTGTCACCGTGGATTTGATTGTCTCAGTAGGCAACAAGGCCTCGGACACGGCCATTCACACGCACTCACGCGGTCACCCCCGTGGATGGACATTCCTTTTGGCAAGGCTCCCAGATGGCGCTGCAGGTTCTCTGTGTGCTGCGGCCATCTGATGGAGTGATTAACTGCGTCTGTGAAAGGCTGTGCAACATCATGACTGAGCGTAAAGGTTGGGGATCATTCGCACCGCTTTCTCTCCTGCTGAGTGGTCACACTAACTTTGCAAAAATCTTCAAAAACAGGTTGAGCTGTTCTGCTTCCACTTGACGAGGGAAGGACTTCTGTCATATTGAATAGACCAGTCAAATAAGAATCCACCAACTGGATTTCACATGTTTTCACAACTTCTTTAAGATGTCAAACAAAATGAATAAATGGAACAGACCGTTCTGGAGCTGATTGATCGACGACATGGCTGCACACCTTTATTCAAAGCTCTCTTATCCCTAATTTTGGCTGTAACAGGAAATGTGTCATATTTGCTGTTGTTTTCTTCTTCTGCAAAATGATGCTACTGCTGCAGAGAAAACTGCAAAACTGCTCTCAAAACCGGGAAAGAAAAGCTCAGAGTAACTCAACCATCTAAAACTAGACTTAAAGGGATATTCCAGCCTAAATTTCAAGTAAGGGTCAAACACACCGCAACACCGTGTTAGACACCCCCTCGAGAGATGAATGTTGCCGTCTGCTTGCTTCTCTAGTTCAACTCTAGTAACGACCACACAATAGCAAAACACAGCGGACTACGTCTTCATGCACAAACCTCAACCAAAACGCCACTCTATAGCCACAAATAATACTCATAGTGCTGCAGTCTGTAATGGACTGGCCTGAGGTCTCGCTACAAACAAGCGGCTGCTGGAAGAGAGTAGGTGAGTTGTGTTTAGTCTCTTTGCTAAAGAAATCAGGCAAAGTTAAAAAGATGTTTTGTGTCCAGTACTATGGCTGGGTCCCTGTATGTACTGTTGATGAAGTGCTGTTTTGAGCATTATTTGTGGCTATAGAGTGGCGTTTTGGTTGAGGTTTGTTGATGGCTCCTCAGACTGCTGTGTATTGCTATCATGCGATCGTTACTAAAATTGGTATAACTAGAGAAGCAAGCGGTCGGCAAAATTCATCTCTCAACGGGGTGTCTAACTCTGTATTACGGTGTGTTTGAGCTTAAATTAATTTTACGTCGGAATATCCCTTTAAGACTTCAGGAGACTGCAATTATAATTTAGACAAATTGGTCAGAACAAACTTTTGGAAACTCAAAGTTTTGTCTGCCTGACTCCAGAGACTTGAAAGGTTAAACATTGTCAGACTGTGACATCACATGCCTCTACTCTGGGGAATTAGGTCAAACAGTGAAACTGTGTCAATACTTGCTCTGCGGTAACCAAGGAGAAGTCTCGGTGAAAATGTCTCGGCACTCTGGACTGTCAGCACACAGACCTTCACCACAGTCATTTGCGCTCCCATGTGCTTAAGGATAATGAACTCGGGCTAAAATGGTAGATGCTTAAAAGAGAATGGCTTTGGAGCCACAGGCTTAGTGACAGGCTGTCGAGCATCCAGAGGCAGTCTCATTAAAACTGTATTTCAGTGTTTTATGACAACGCTTACAACCGATGTCACATCCATTAAGGACGAGTGGTAGTTGGAGAGTCACATCATCTGGAAGGTGACCGATTTAATCCGAGCCACAGCTCTCCACGAAGGAGCCTCTGAGACCCTGAAGGCGCGTCTCCTTTGGAATCAAGTTTCCACGTCTCTTAATTGATTTGTTTTACCCTTTCTGAATGGTTTAATTAACCTAAACTTAGATTAAAATGCCACTGAAGGAGAATCCTCAGACCCTTTATCACCACTAGTTGAACTGGAAGTAATTTTACGAGTCTTGGGAAATGACATTTTCCCAAACGGACATCTTATGGCTGGTTGCACACTGTTGGTGGCAGACGCAGCGGTGCAGAGGTCTGCCAGCACAAACACGACTCTGCTGCACAGCGAAACAATCGTTGCCTCTCTCGCTTTGGTAAACATTTATGAGTGAAGTACACAAACGTAATGGAGCAAGTCAGCTGTGGATGGAAAGATAATGTGGCGTTTAATTCTTGCTTAGCTGAGTATTGATGTGATGCCTCGTACAGAATACTTGAATCATGTTCGCTTTAAGCAGGATCTGAGAGGGCGGATTTTAATTTCTGCTCATATTCAAACATCAATATTTATGCTGCAAAGATCCTTTTCTTTTTTTTAGTTTGACTTGCATGTTCACATGAGATGATTCTCCTCGTTTTATCTCCAGTCTCAAAGCTGAACATTTAGCTCTCAGACACATTTTTGCAGTCGAACAAAAAGGCTCGTTGAATCATAAACGACTTTGTGTCTTGGATGTTTCTTTGTGAGTGGTGATTCAGAGTGAGCCATTTCCTTGAAAGCATAAAAATCTTGAACAGAATTAAAAGCCTTTTTTATTTCCAACTGTTGAGTAGACTGTTGGGTATTCGCCAATTTTGTCAAGAATTTCTTTCTTTAAAAAAAAAACATGCTGTTTTCTCTTGGAAAAAAAAAGTCTCACCTATCACCGGTGGGTGTAAATGTTGAAACCTACTCTGCCTTCAGACTAATGCCCCAAAATGTTTAGGGATATCTAGAAGTCAGATTCTAGATCAAAATGCTCCCTTGCTCACCCCTCCAATTGGTGATAGGATGGCATAACAGGGGTGCGAATGAGCAACCTAAGCTTGGTAGAAACGGTAACATCTCTGTCTCTCTCTCTTTATCTTTCTGTCTGTAGATGTGTCCTCCTGCCTCTCCTGAGTGTTAAGCCTCCTCAGCAGTCTCTCTTTCTGCTGGTGGACTCTATCGATGAGGGCTGTCAGCTGGGAGAGGGGGAGCAGAGGTCTTCTCCCGGCTCCCCCAGGACCATCGCAGAGCTCCTGGCCAGTCATCATGAGTTCCTGCCTCCTTGGCTGCTACTCATCTGCTCGGCGCGGCGACAGAACAAGGCCATCACGAAACTCTTCACAGGTGAACTGCTCTGCTTTTGTCTGACTTGGACTCTAATTTACGATATTATACCTAAAATAATTAAAGGGTAATTCTGCTATTTTTTGACCCATATTCAGGGGGCTTTAAGCACAGATGAAGCTGCTGTTTCTGGTTTAGAGAAATCATAAAGGTCTCTGTTTGTAGGGATCCTTTTGTGTAATGTTGCCTAACACTGAGCGTGTTTGTGGCAAAGACGAGCGCTTAATGTTTGATGCACCATAATAGGAGAACGTTTTCGAAGTCAGCCTTTATATCCCTTTTTGTTGCTGCCATTTGAAGCAATCTGTGGAAGCAAATCCCAAACAAACGTAATACATTAGCCATAAAGAGCTCAAAGATGTAAAAAAGGATCCCAGTTTGGAAATACTCGAAATCTTTTCATCATGTTGCTCGTAGCATTTTTTTTCCAGTAAATCAATACATCATTGTCAAAGTAATTGTGATACTTTCATAACAGCTGAGCTGAACTGACGTGGAAAGACAGTTTGATTGATGAGACTGTATTTGCACTTGTCAGTACCGCTCCACGCTTGTTTCACCTCAATGGCAGCTATTTCTCCGTGTTAAGATGATACATTTCACCTGATAATGCGGTTACAAAAACCAGCCTGTGGCTGTTTCTTTTCCGTCATGGCTGTTCCAGCGGTACGGATGCAGAAGGCTGCTTCAACGCCACAACATGCCTAAAGAGATTAGGGCCAGCGTGGCAGACCTCGGGAAGGGTTGCAGCTCTCCCTAGATGTCCAGTGACACTGTACCACACCAGCTGCTATTATCTCCTTGTCAGGCCGGCAGCCTACTCTGTGGTGATGAGCTGGCATAGCATTAATCAAGAACCTGCCTGAGTGGGAGGAAGTCTCCTCCGCAGACTCGCTCTGCTGTGTGTACCCGCTGTGTGTACCCTCTCTACCTTTCCAAAACCACGAAACGTGGGAGCTTCTCGCGCCCTGGCTCACCTCTTGAAACATTACGCAATATCCCAGCAGTCACAGCGGTGGTTTTATGTGCTACTCCTCGCTCAGAAGATGCGTCAATGTGCTACATATTTCACATCTTTGGGCAATGAAATGGGATGTAGTGAGAGAGGAAAACCTGCAGATATTCAAGAGCAAGTCTGGCATCACTCAGCCTCCTCTGGTATGCTGAAAGTGTCATGTAGATTTTTAGGCATAGTTGAATAAACTGAATGCCTGTGCGGTTTACTCCGGTTGTAGTTTGTAAGTTTAGGGCTTTTTTTCACGTTTTTAGGATGTATTGTTTGTTAAAAGTTTTACAGAAGCCTACTCTATCTATTATACCACCTGGCTGAAAATCATTTTAATGGTATGAGGTTCGAGGACAGAAGTCTATCATTCACTTTAGCATGATCTTCAGTTTTCATATCGTCACCCTATAAAAATAATGGCGCAAGTCATATTTTGACGAAAATAAGTTTTGGGCCTAAATCAAATCTGTCAGAGTCGACTACATCCTTTTGCTCGCCCATTTTCCTGTTTCCAACACACCAACCTGGAGAGATGACCGATGTAATTCACTTCAACTATCAGTAGTCATAATGTTATGGCTGAGCAGTGTACTGCCTGATACAACAAACCAGGAGATCTAAAATTTATTTGAGGCATTTTCACCATTTTATGAGAAAACAACCATCAAGAGATTGATTTTGTCGCAGCTCTGTAACAAACACCGCTCTGAGGGACTCACTGGTTTTTACTTTTACAGCGGGTATGAAGCACCAGCGTTTCACTGTGTTTTACCCCACACTGCTTGAATTTCTCTGCATTTTTCTCCATGCTTTCCAACATCCCTGAAATGTTGTCGTTGTGGAAATCCAGGTGCTTTGACCGCACAGTGATGGAAGTGCAGCTTTAGACGTGTGCAGATCTGATCAGCGTAAACGGTGGCAGTAAGGGGAAGGGGTTTGGTTTGCCAGGTTTTAGACTACCAGGACTCGCATTGAGTCTTTTGTGGGCGTCATGCATTTAATTCAAACAAACCAACTGTGTTGCAAGCTGCCCACTTTATAATCACAAAGACATGCCCACCCACGCTTCCCTCTCACATCAAAGCTTGCACGTAGGTGCCCATGGTAGATTAGATTCTGGATTGGTATCCCGGTTTAGTATAAAGCCTCCTCACAGCATTCTCCAAACTTTGAGCCCACTGACAACACAGACGGGAAAAGTTTTAGATTTGATTTCCTTTCAGCAGCAATTTGCATTAAATCGTATTTTCTGCTTCCTCCTGCGTGCGTGTGCGAGTGAACTGTCTGCCGTGTCTGGCTCGAACTGTAGATTTAAATTGTCAGATTTTATTTGCAGTTGCACATAAAGTTGACAGCAGAGTCACCAGGGGAATATATAGCTGTGTTTGCCATGGATGGAAATGGTAATGGGAGATTTTTTATCTGTAACTTGCTTCAGAGTGTTTCGGGGAGTTCTCTGATTGCTTGTTTGCTCTCTCTCCTTTTATGTCGAGCTGTCTGTTCTCGTTGTTTTTGATACAGTTTGAAGGGAATTTCATCTTGGACCAATCTGATAAACAGCAGTTATCTTCTTTCTTTCCCTTTCTTCCCTTCTTTCTCTTTTGTTGAACCGGCTCTCATCTCTTTCCCTTTTTTACTGCGCCTTTGACAACGGCCAAGCTTTTGTAGAGCTTTTATTCCGATTGGCCAGTGATGGCTTTCTGTAAACGATTCCTCTTTCTGAACGGAGGAACAGAGCCAGACTCGCACATCAGATGTGATGCCCCCCATTTGAACGCAGTGAAGGACATATGTGATTAGTTTTTTTTTCTTTTCCCATGCTCTTGCTTTTATTATTTGGATCCTATTGAGTTTGTGCATTGAGATACTCTAACAGACCCACAATACGCCTCAGCCTCTCTCCTTTGTGGATGCTTTTAGCAGCGTCTTTGTTTTGTCTACATCCAATCATCCGCTTTTAGTTCAGCACTGGAAATTCTTCTGCCACACTGGCTTCCTTATACCCCCACACATATACACTGGTGTAGACGGGCAGACAAATACATCCACCCTCTATTAGTCTGTATTATGAATAAAGGAATCCAAATAGCCCTTCTGTCTGAAGCAATTGACTGCAAATAGACCATGAGGACTTCAGAGTATGAAATCGAGGCCAAGTGTCCCCTAAAAATAACCTCCATATTGTTTACAAGTCAGAGATGGCGGTGACCTGCCAAAAGACTCCACTTTCATGCTCAGTGCGGAGCCAACTCCAGTTTTATACGAGTGGCCTATTTTGTCTGGGGTGGAGGTTGTGTGGGTTTCCCTGTATACTCTGGTCTGCGGCGATGGGAACACTGTGGTCGTGTGAATATAGTGTCCATAAAGTTTGAAGAGTGACCTTCAACCAGAGGGTCACTCTGAAGAGAAATTGCTGGACCAGAAGACCGCGCCAATCCTTTTTTTTTTTTAAGTATTTGAACTTTGTCTGCCTTCTGAGTCGTTTTTTTAAGAAAGAACAAAACTTTTATACTTGTCATCCAGATGAATTTACAATCTCCGTTCTGTGGGAGCCGGGGTGCGATGTTAGATGCTGACAAAAACAGGCTGATGTTTGCAAACCAGGAAAGAATATAATCAATCGAAAAGACTACAAATCAAACATTGAAATGGACAGATGTTAATGTGACATAACTGTGCATAAAAAGAGCACCCTAGAGAGGCTGTGTCCCAGAAGTTAAGGTGGAAAGAGGTGCATTACTCAGGGACTGGGTTAGCAAATGTTCAGCAATCACAGAGTACTGATCCCCCTAAAACTGCAAAAGACTCCAGTGTTTTATTACCAAAGGGACAGAATTCCTCCAAGAGATCCAAAGATCAGGAGAATTTTAGGGACAAAGATGTATCATCGGTTCTTCATACATGGCTCTGTTGTGGGAATCACTGCATGGGTTCAAAATCCTGCATCCACAAATGCAGGTTAAAACTTTAACACGCAAAGAGGAACAATCCAGACTACTTGTGAACTGTGACCTTCTTTTCGGGACTCATGGATACTCAGTCCCTGCTCTTAGGAGCGGGTAAACCTGGTTTGTTGCTAACACACAGCTCACATAAATGCGGAAGAATATATACACGTTCTGGGGCAACTTCTGCTTCCATCCAGATAATCTGTTTTTCAGGGAGGACCTCGCAAAATACATAAAAAAGATGACAAACTACATTTTGCTAATATTGACTCAGTAGTGGAAGAGTCCAGGTGCTAAACTGGAATACCTGCAGTGCTGTTTCGTCTTTGCAGTTCAACATAGACTTTAAATTATTCGCAAACCGTCAAATTCTGTCTTTATCAACATTATTCAAAGCAGCCCGACTCTTTAGGTATCAGGGCTGTGATTCACTCCATTCTGGCACACTCTGTCGGTATCAGAGACCTGGTTTTCCCCCCCGAAGCAAAATATCTAAATTCCTCTTTCCTTGCTCAAAATGTTTTTCCTCGTGTCTGTCTCACGGAGGAATGTGCTTTGGGAAGTTTTCAACACCTCCGAGACCGAGCAGGAAGAAGGAGGCATTCTGACTTCTGCTGCAGAATGACTCGCTCGCATCCGCTCGGCTAACAGCCTCACAAACAAAGACTGTTCTGTTTGTGAGGAGGAGTACAGAAATTTTTTTTTTGCAGCGTATCCCTCTGGCTGACTCACATTACGCGATCACTCGGCTTTGATTAAGACTCCGTCTCTGTGTGTGATATTTGAAATTGACTAGAAGTGGACCTTGAGATGGAAATAAACACGGGGTTATCCTGAAATCAGAGTTAGTCTTTTGCTGTGTTGCTTCTTTATGTCCCCAGTGACAGCAGACCTATGGAGAGAAGCTCGCTCCATACCCCCCCCTCCTCTGCTGTGCTACTGTAAGGCCATGATAGGGGTAGCGGAGTGGAAACACTTAGGCAGCGATTTTGGTTGGGAGCGGGATAGAATCTGTGCCAATTTAACAAGGCCTCCGGCAGAAGGGAGCGCAAGGGAAAGGGGAAAGACGGGGCGGGTGGAGGTGGGAGACAGGGGGTTGGGCTTTTAAATAGAAACAGCCTCTCAGACATGTATTTCTCCAACAGCTTCTACCTCAACCTCTCATTATTTTCTTAGCGTGTCCCGAAATTCTGCAGAAACGTCTCCAATAAGCTCTTGTTCGACATTTTCTTCACTTTTATTTTGTTAGGGGGTACTTGAGGACGCTCTTTGCATCCATTGCATTGTTTCTTAAAAATATCTCCTCACTTATGGTCTCATTAAAATAATTACAGACTCATTTGAAACATAATCCCCCTCATAGCGTTTGATCCAGCCTAGTGTGTGATCTTTTTATCGTGGTGAGGCATCACTGAACTGTAATGGCTACCATCTGCCCGATATTGTTTGTGCTGCATGCTTGTCAAAGTCACTCTTTCTCAAGTGGTAAGAAGGGGAAGTCAGTGTCCTGGAGGTAACGGAGAGGAGAGCGTGGAGCACTTGGGGGCTTGTGTACAAAGTGATAAGAGCTTTAACTTATGTTTATTAATTTCCCCCTGAGAGGAGCGGTGGAAGCACAGGAACAGCACAAAACTGCTGAGTATGTCCGCACTGACCATCCTCTACCCTGATATTAACATAACATTTATTATTAATGATGCTTCTTGTGCTTCAGTAAGCACATTAACATTCACCTTTTTGCTTCCACTTGATATTTTTGCCCTTTTTGGCGTCTTTCACTGAGAACAGACGCAGAAATATCCTGCTGGCTTACTTTGCTGCTGTTAAATGAAGCTATCAAGTCATACACAGCCACAGTTCGTTAACTATGACAGAAATGCCGCGAGTTGATGTGACAGAACCACCACTTAGCCATGCATTAAGTCATGCAGTCATAGCTTTGAGAGCAAATTAGGGCATTTCATCTGCAAGACAACTTCCCACTATGATATTATTGTGAAACTATTTGTTTCACCCTCCGTCATTCAGAAACTAAGTGAAATTAATAGTTTGCAGAAAGTCTGGCGTGTGCCTCTACTTCTGGTACTGTTTAGGTCGGCACAATGACTGTCACGTGTGCTGGTTTCATGTGCAGGGGAGATACAAATCAAGACTTGAGAGGCTGCGCCCACTCAGTCTCAAAAATGGTCTTAACTGCAAAATAAGCTTCTTCTCTTAATATGCTTTCGTAGACAGCTCTGATGGTCATGTGGAGACTATTTTGAGCTCATATATTCACATAATAGAGCTGGCCATCAACCGAAAATTTACTGATACCGAAATATACTATAACCAACGTCACTTTGTCCATATCGGTAAATTGGGTGTCGAAAAATTTAAAGTTTAGGGCTTTTTTTGTTGACATTTTTAGGATATATTGTTTGTTATTAAAGTTTTAAAGAAGCCTTCTATATTATTTATACTATCCGGCTGAAAATCACATTAACAGTATGAGGTTTGAGGTCAGAGGACAGAGGTCCACCATTCACTTTAGCATGATCTGCAACTTTCATATGCTCTGCAGTAGGGCAGGGTGATAAAGCGCGAAAATTTACCGATACAGAAATTTATGACAATAACCGACGTCATTTTTCATATCAGTATATTCAGTGTCAAAAAAATAAAAGTTGGTTTTGGATATGTGTAGGTAGACTATGGTCTCATGTCCCTTTTAAGATGCTGTCCTACATCAGAGACGTGACTCCACCCCATCCAGTCTGTAACAAAGAGGGAAAGACAGGTGAGGAGATGGAGGACAGTTCAAAAGTTGAAGCGGCTGAAGTAGACGAAGTTAATGTGGGAGGGGGTAAGCAGCTTGTGGAGTAGTTATCCATTTATCGTTATTAAGGTGAACTGATCAATATATCCTGATATTGATTTGAGGCCAGATCACCCAGCCCTATCACATAGTCATATTCACATGGCCTTTGGTGGACAGAGGGGAAGAATTCGGTGGGTTGGCAAATGTTTCTTCAAATTCCAGTTCCTGAAAGATTAGATGTAAAGCGCGCAACACAAACATGGCATCCGTAGCCCGTCATGGCAGCCATAACAATTAAAAAACAAGAGCTGGATGAGCCCCTGCTGTCATCAAGGTGTCCTGTTTGGGAACACTCTGATTTCTTAGTGAAACACAACAGTGAACAAAGAAAAAACATAAAAACAGAGCTCTCTTTGGTAGAAACAGCCTCTTTTTTGCTGTTTTTTTTCCTGGTAGATCAAAAGTGATTTGATGGTAGTAGATCTTTGATCGGTTTTGTGTGAATACTGTTTGTTAGTCCCTGGTATCCATTCCATGATGATAGGTAATCATGTAATCAAGGTGTTGCATATAGCAGGTACTAACAGCGTCTATCCTGACCTTTCTGCAGGTGTTTCTTTGATGCAGCAGGATGGCGTGCATGTCTTTCTGAACCTCACAGCACTACATCTGAATTTCCGGCAGCTGTTGCTCTTGTTTTCTTCTTTTTGAATTAATGCTCCAATGGGAAGCAAACAGCCCTGATTTTTAATGCCTGAAGCTGGAGTTTAGGGGGAGGAGTCAGCATATAGGCAGCAGGTCATTTTATTTTTGTGAAAAGGCCCCACTCAAGCATGTTGATGGTGATGCAAAGACTAATTTGGCCACAGGGGGCGCCAAAATTGACCCATAATGAAAGTTCCTCACAGGAGCTTTAATGCAGTTCATTCTTCATCTTCTGTTATGTGACTCAGTTAGTAAACAGTGATCAGACGCGCTACAGCTGCTGTCTTGCAGAAGAATGACGTTAAATCAAGCGCCATTAAAACACAATGGGATGTGTACTTTTAAGATGAGCAAATCTTGTCGTGAAGTCGTTTCAAAAATCATAATCCAACCCTGTTCAGAGAACAATAGTCAAACATATTAAGAGTAATTGATTCATGCAGTTCGATCACACGAGCTCTTTATAAACAAGCCAAAGCTGCTGCGTTTGTGCACAACTTGTCTAAGCCATCTGCTGCAGCACTCATGACTCATAGATGGACCTCCAGAGGTACCAGTGTGTGTTTTTTTTAGGTTGAGTCTGTGCTCAAAGGGCATAACAAAGATGTCAGCGCCAGTCTCAGCCCTTTGAAAGAAAAGTTGAATTCTGTATAAATATATAGAGAGATTTTGCAAGGTTTATTTAAGAATTGTACATTTATCAAGCACTTTAACGATATAGATTTCCTCAGAACTAAGACAGAGACCCTGGCAGATAATGCAATCTCCCCCTACTTTACCTATAATGCGAATAAAATACTTAGTCTATTTCTGTTTCTCAGCTCGAAGCCCTGCAAAGGAAAATAAGGCACGTTTTCAGATTTGAGATAACCAGAATGAGGAGAGAATCACCTCTCGCATCTCTCCTCACGTGTGGCAGCATGTTGTGACTAATCTGTGACTACAGAAGGAGGTAGATGACAATGATAAAGCTCAGTCTGTGAACACAAAACAACACCTCATGAAAGCTGTAGTTAGGAGCGAGGGATGCGGAGGAACGGAGAATAAGGAAAGATTTGTCGTATGCAATGCCAGGATTTCTAATAATATAGCATCAGTGTGTTTCTGTACTCGTGAAAGATAATAGGTCCTGTTAAAGCAACCACATTCCTGCTCTGTAGTGTTACTGCCGCTCTAATTAGATTGATTCCCACTGTCATAAAGTGCGTTATTATTTCCAGTCTTTTCTGAATTTACTTCCAGTTGGTCAGAGGGGGCACTTGGCAGTTTTGAGGGGGGATGGACCAGCGAGAGACTTGGAGAATAGCCACGAAAACCTCACATAAAAGCCCGCCTCAGTTATGAATCACAGCTGTAATTAAGTCAGTGATATTCCTGGCTCAGTCTGAGGAATGTTACAGGAGCGTGTGGCCACTTTCAAGAAGACACTCATCCCGTGAGGAATTTCGATAGAGGGGTTTACTCATTTCCTTCAGAGATGACACATGCTTTGAGTTTTTCACGCTGCAGGTCGGAGCTGTTCTATGAGAAAGAGCTGCGCTTTAAGGAAATTATGCAGCTCCAGGGTGGGCCTGAGTTTTTGTTTCCTGTATTTGCAAGAGCGGTAGCCCACCCTGGCAAGGACTTGAACCGCATCTCCCACCTCCACTCTGCCCGCCCGCTGTGAAAGGAGCTTTCTTCACAGACAGAACTGATTTACCACCGATGATCACAACTGAAAGGAGCAGCCCTGTTCAAAGCACCCGCCCTCCTCCACCTCTCTGAGCGTCCCCTTTGTGACCTGCGGGTGAATCTGACACAAGGCGTGATCGTTCCTCAGCTGGAAGGTCAACAAAACTCTTAACATCTCCCTGGATGTGTGTCTTCTTTTGTGCGGACTTTCTATTCGGTCAGACGAGACCTCACTGGAGGGACCTCAAGATCTCCTGGCCGACTGACAACACAAACACAGTTGTAAAGCAGCGAGGATGGTTTATTTCTTCAGGGCTGCAGGAATGCACCCTGCAGACTGATAAAGACGGCCCTGCTTACTGGCTTCCCCAGTAAATGACATTTAGTGGCATCATTTAGACGATTGGATGTGTGTCTTTATGAAAACAAAAGATTAATCGGAGACTTAACTATGAAATAAAATCAGAGTTTTACGAGAGGAAAGATGCCAAGAGCCATTTTCAGCTCTGTGAGGGAGAAGGAGTGCCAGGGCCCTGAAATTAAGTCTTTATTTAATACTTAAAGAACTCTGAAACCAACTCCAACATGTTTTGGCCATGCGACAGCCCTCATCAGAGAGACTTAATAGCACAGCACTTAACCAAAGAGCACAATCGACAAATACTTTTTGCTACCAGAACATAATAAAAGCCTTCTCTACTTAGGGTTTGCAGTATTGATTGTACCTTCGTGCCTCAACGCTCGGGTCACAAGAGCAAGGACGACGCATTTAATTAGCTCAGCAGCCCCCTTTCTTGAAATTGGCTCACGCAGACAAGCTGATTTATGTCCGTATTCATGTATGAGTTGTCGTCTGTGAGGCTGCATGTCGATCCTCGCTTTGGATGAGCTGAAGACCATAATCCCTGCTGAATACTGTAATTTACCACCGAGCAGTCTGACAGCCGGGCAAATTACAGGTCTACTGTGTCTGAATCTGTAACACCTTTGGAGCGACACTGCAGAAACATGACTCTGAACATGGCTGGCATCACTCCTCCTGAGGTGATGCCCCTTGGTATGTGGCGTGCCCCTGCCAAGCCTTTACAGAAGCGGCGTATCTGAGTATTTTCAAGGCTTAAACACATATTCCAACTTGTCAGATTTTGCTTTAATTGAAGGTTATTCAAATGAAAGTTTAATGAAAGTTGGTTTGAATGAATGCAGAGAAATTCCTGGCGTGTTTTTAAAGGCTGGTTTTGCTGCAGGGTTGAAGGCCTTTAAAGTAAAGATGTGTTTTTTCTTTTTTTTTTTCATTCCTCACCGCCTCTTGACCTGAATGCCAAGCATGACTTCGCAACTACCTGATCCCACAGCAAGCTACCGCAGCTTTCCCTCAATCTGAAACTGTTGTCTGGACATTTCCCCCGTGAAATCTGCCATAAAACGGTTCCAGACCCTTCCTGGCACTGAGCGTTGATAGCAGATAATGCCTTGTTTGACTTGATGGCTAATAAAACACAACTGACGTGCTAGACAGAGCGGTTTCTTGAGCAGGTGAATGGAAACATGTGCTGGTAGGGCTAAATGAGGTCAGCAGGAGGTCAGCCGGTGTAATGATGAACAAAAACACGGGCAGGGGTTCAGGAAATTTGATCCTGTGCAGGGCAGGGAGCTCCCAGCGCCACCATGAAAACTGAAAAACACGGATCTCCACAAAGAAATGAGTTATTATAGGTTGGCAGGGGGGTGTATTTTGGGGTTTTATGGAACATAGTGAGCACATAAAAGTAGATGGTTCAAAGAAAGAAAAAGGAGTTATTGACAGAGCGAACTCTTTTCTAATTTTGAATTGACAGGATCTTTGTGTCCTGGACTTAACAATCCATTATTCCTCCTCTCTCAAAGTGGAACTTCCCTGGAATTTCTCTTCTTGGATGAAATTTCCAGTTGTCTGCGCAGCTGTGAGGAGCTCAAAGATATACAGTGACAAGCCTCTGAGAGTGGAGATCCATTAAGGGATGCAGTGAGTGATTCCATACACATGTGGCCAGGTGCGCAGCCTTATGAATCAGTCTCTTGTCACCACCTTAATGAGCTCCTGCCATTCAGAACTGCACAGACGGTGTTTGATACAGAGTTTGGTGCGGAGGATCACACGATGGATGTCTTTTATGCAAGTTATTTGATATCGTAACCCCAAGGATCCCTCCATATTTATGTGGATGTTTTTGAAAAGTGTGTTTGGGGTCACTGAAAATGGAGGCTTTGGAAACCCTCCAAGGTAGAGAGCTTTTAAACATTTACAAAGACATTCAGTCAGAGTTCTGTGCTGGAGTTTATGATTTTCCAGATTTTCATTTTTCCCGTAAATACATATCGATTCCAAATATTGATATATCGGTAATCAGGAACGCCCATGTCGTTACCTCTACAGGGCCGCTGTTATCACTTGTGATCATTTACCAACACCACGTCTTCTGATGTCACTTAATTTTACGTTTCAACAGCCCAAAATATCACCCACTCAAACATTTGTTTTTAACCATTTTGGTGTTGCCATGGAGACAAAGAAATATTCAAAAACACCTCTTGTGTGGGAAAGATTATTTATTTAAAACTAAGAATTATCCATTGCCTATGTAATCTATAGGAATCTAGACATAGTTTAAATATATATTACATTGTAAAACCTCTTACATATTAAATTACAGTTACATTAACCCGTCTGTAAGTCTCATGTCAGGATAAGCACCTCGACTACATGAACGGGGGGACAAAGTAACATTTCTTCATCATTTTCAACGCCTCCAAGTCAGAATTTAGTGCTTCTAGATTGATGTGAATGCTGCAGCAGGTACCCTTGGAAAAACATGCAGAGGGACAGAAGATTAAATGCATGTCTTTTACTGTCTGCTAGGTCATTGCAGTAGATTCATCATCTCCTGTGTACAAAACCAAGCAACACTTTAAGGCTCTGCAAGCTGAAATGGTCTTTTATTCCTGTTAGATTTTTAGTTTAAAGGTGCAGTATGTTGTGTTTAGTGGCATTTAGCCGAACACACTGAGTAGAAATGGATGTGTTCTGTGTTGTTATGGAAATATGAAAATCAAAAACATTTCGTAAACTTTCTATGAGCTTTAAAGAGTGGCTGACTTAGGATCACATGTGCTTCTTGTGGAAAGAGTGAGTGTCAAGAGAGAGGTTTCTGCCTATGAAAGAATTTGTATTGCAATTCCTTGATGGTAAAAACATGGTGCATAATCGCAGCTTTTTGTCCTCAAAGGCCACCGTCAAACACTGACAGGAGGAGGGGCGTGTTCAGTCTAGAGTGTGACAGCTTGGATTTTGCAGGATATCCCAGTATCATTACATCATTTTAGACTAGATAACATTACAGGGAGAAGATAATGGTCATCAGTTTTGGACTTGGTGGAAAGCTTTTAAATCCATTGATGAATCAGGCTGTGAAAGAGGAAGAACACCTGCAGCTTTCATGATAGCTTCACTCACTGGGTCTCCTGTGTTAGGGGAAAAACCTTTCAGTGAGTTAAATGTGTTCCTGTTAGCTCCGCCCCTCACCTCCACAGCGGTTCAGTTGCACCTCAACAGGTTTGACTGGAAACCCTCTCACCTCACGTGTGAACTCCGGCCTGTGAAGCATGTTTGAGCAGGAGCGTTTTCATGCGCTCTGCCTCTGGCGGTACATGAATTAATTGTTTAAGTGTAATCGTTTCAGCGTCTCGCCTGGTGGTCTTTGAGCGCGGGAGGAAATGTATACAGAGCACGAAAAGTGGAGCTGCAGAGTTCAAATGATTTTCCCCCTGCAGTTATCTTTGAACCGTTGAGCTAGCGCCCCATTAGACTCAAAGCTTTGTCTGTGCCTGGCTTTGTGTCTTCACACTTGTGAATAAGCGATAGAGAGTGCCACAGTATCTCCACTTCAGTCAGAGAAGAAATTGGACCGAGTATAAACTTAAACAAAGAACGTTAACAGTGTTTGTCAAACTCTTTTCAAAAGCCTGTTGTTTGCAGACTGGAGCTGACTCTCATCCACATACTTGTGTTTAGGAGGTTGGCGCTCTCATGTATTTTGGAGCCGGGAACGCTGCAGCTGTCGAACAGACGTTTGTCGAACTGGGTTTTACTGGAGGGCTTGAGGACAGGGCAGCAGGGCTTGGGTTTCTGTTTTCTTTATGGATCAGATGACCCAAGATGGTGTCTCGCTGAAGAGAACGTGCCGAATCAAGAGAGGCTGTCGTTGTGAAATTCTCAGCTAGGACCTCTTAATTCTCACATGCTCGCACGCCGCCTCGTTTGTCATCTGAAAAAATTAATCTAGAAGGCAAACAGTCCCTCTTTTGTACGCGGGGCTCTGTCTCCTGTGGCTGGTATCCAGTTCTGTAACGAGCAGCAGCTGGCTCAGAGGCCTGTACTCGGGAGCCGCATCCCTCACCCTGATGAATGTGTCATTTGTTGCTTGTTTAGCAGTCGCTTTTGTCCAGAGTTTGAGCCATCCTCTCTCTAACACACACACATTAATAGCCAGAACTCTGCCACAGTTTGTGTAGCCTACTTTTAAAGGGCGCACAAAAAATCTAGGCCTTCATCCCTGCTCGGTTTTTGGAAAGAAAGAAAATAGTTCTTGGAAAGTATTTGAAGATTTGCTGCCAATGTAAGTTCTTGTGTTCTTATGTAGTACTTAATAGCAGTTCCTCTTACACCACAGTCATCAAATACAGGTTGGATGACGTCCCCCCCTGTGGTTGTTCTTGTGCTTTATCTGCAGGAGTCAGACTATAACAGTGCCATGACTTCATAGTTGACATCCAAGCCTTATGGAGGGAAGAGGGGCTGAAACAATCCCTCGAATTAATCCAGAAACTTGATCATAAAAGAAAAAAAGGGAAATTATTTGCGTAGAGCTTTCATGTCAATCCTGACTCTATGGCACAACGTAGTAACCACAGGACGACTATCATACATAAGCTCTGAATATTTTCATAACTTTGATTTACCAGCAATACAAAAACTAAATTTCAATGTACAAAGTAATTTATTTAGTGGTTAAGACAGGAAAGAGGACCCTGCTGTTTCCTCTGTACAGATATGCAGGAGTGTGTCCAGACTTTTTTCCCCGAGGTGGCACAACCTGACATAGAACTTGCCAGGGCAGGCCCGTCAGTTTACACAGATTATTCTAGTTCCAGTCTTTTCTAACTTTAGTTCACATAGAAATTGTTTTCTTTCTTTGTTTCATGATGTCTGAAGTCAGAGTATCTTCATAATCTGTGTGTCAACAGCCTCTGACTGTGTGAGAAACTGTTTATCATACACTTCAGCACGGAAGAACTGTCCTTTTATTCCCTTGAGAAAATATTCATGATCAAGTAACATCTCCAGAATTGAGCCGTAATGCACACTCAGTGTTTTTCCCGAGCCCTTTGAGAATAAAACAAATCAACAACAAGAAAAATACTCTGCCTCACACTTTGCTCAAGTCCCTGGCAGAGTGAAACATACAGTATACAGTACTTTTTTTTTCTCCTTTGGCCCTCTGAATCCTTTTTTGTCCTTGTTTTTCCCCTTCAATGGCCTCTTCCCCCTCTGAGCGAGCGGGTTTCCTGTCTCAACTGGAGCAAACCCAGAATGGCCAAAGAAGGATTGGGTCCAGAAGGAGCTGGAGGACCAGTTATAGAGTCATAGTTGGAATTACAGCAGATATCAGTTGTCTTTTTATGCCATACATATCATGCAGATTTGATGCTGTGGACCTTCACGCCTGTGCATTGTGTATTAGCCTGTAAAAGATATATAACAGGGAATGAAAATGTGCATATGCTGTTTTTGCCTTGCAGCTAAAAAGAGATGTTCAGGAAAGAAAAGGTGGGAGAAAATCCTACGATGCTGAGGCTGAATCTCAAACTTGAATGCTTAAGTTGTAGCCAGAGGACTTTGGAGTGCACTGGGAACAAAAATCCACAACGGGATCATAACTTACCTCCGAGTGTCTCTCTGTCTTTGATTCTGAAGACACTGACAGACTTGCAATGACTCACTTTTCAGTATTTTCCATGGCTCTGATAAACATGTTGCGGAAACAAAGGTTTTGGATGTCTCGTTGGTATTTGAAACGTAAAGGTGGTTCACTTTCCCGTCGCTGCCACTTCTGCTTACTGTGAATCTGTCTCTGCTGGAATGTCAGTGACTTTTCCAGAGCTGGAAGGGGAGCCGGTAAAGGGGGTCATGGAGCCAGAGAAAAGAGGTTGAAGGGAGGGTGGAAAATGCACTCAGTCAGTGAATACAATGAGACTCAGAAAGTGGGTTAGGGTCACTGAGTTTTCCCAATGACTGGGAAATTACATAGGAAAAGGCAGGAGAGTGGTTCTTTAAGAGACATTTATTGACATGAATATTATGATTGGGTAAAAGATTATTTTTCTAACAACCTGACCCAACCTGGCAGCTGTGTTTTATGGTAAAACGTTGTATTTTAGGGGAGGGGGGAGTATGATTATCATTGACAAGGGTGTGCAATGTTGAGAAAAAGTTATATCTTAAAAATTTTGAGGGTATTTTCCTAATAATGATAATTGACCTACTTGAATAAACCTAGCTACGAAATCTAATCATGTCAATTCTGAACACACTGCAAGTTTAAATAAGAACAAGATACAGCTTACAGTGTGAATTATGTTCAGCATTGCTTCATGTTTTTCAAGAAAGCTTCCTCCTGAGTCGTTTTGCACCCAGCTACACCCATTATTGGTTTTCCTCTTGTTTAGGTTTCAGGCTCGTAATTTCCATCGCTGCCAGGCTCTTGTGTTTAATTGGAAGGTTTTCTTTGAACATTAATCTCAGATTTTGATCCAGTGTCTGTAGAGCCGTCTGTCTTTATGATAACCTTAACAGTAAAGTTCCAAACCCCCCAAACTTACCCCCTACTTGTCTGGAGCTTAAAATGTTCCCATAAAATATTTGACGATGGGTAATTAGTGCCTGTAACTGAGTCCAACCCAAGAGAGTGATTTATTAGAATAAGAAACCTGTGATTTTCTGATTATGTAAGGATGTAATTAAACATAGTAAACATCAGAAGTGAGAATGCCGTCATTTTGTATGTTTTTATCAGTATGAATAACAATCCAGGTCTCAAGGACAAAGCAAAAACAGATGATTGCGAGGCACGGTTTGCACAAGCAAGCTTATCTTAAACAAACTCAGAAGCAGGTGATAAAGAAAACCCATCGCCCCTTCTGTTTACAGGATCTGTTGTCCAAACTGTCAGCGCCTGCTTGGGAACTCTCATTAAGCAGGCCAGGTTTGTTATCTGGCTTCCAGGTGTGGTCAGCAACAGCTCTGTGTGTGGAGTAAGATTTCACGATCTACCCACACAAAAGCAGGCAGATGAACAGAGCGCTGCCTCGGGCTCTGTGACAGAGTCTGATTCATACTATGTTCAGGGGAAAGTTGTGTTATATAATCAAAGCAAGCAGAGTCATTGACTGAGGATAAAAGAACTGGAGCTCAGTTTTTAAAACCCTCAAAATGAAGTTTTATGCTTTTCCATAAAAGTCCAAGCATTAATGGGTTGCCTAAAATTGAAACTTTAATTTTCTTACTTTAAAAAGGTCAATGTTAATGAGCTCACATCCATCCTGGAATGTCAGGGTAACGTTTCCCATAGTTGTATTCACGAGGAAATACAGTGGGTCAATAACCTAGAGAGAGCCAAAGCCTCTGATGACATTTTTCCTGTCCCAGTAACCCTGGGATCCATGGGAACTGTAAGTATAAGTATGCAGAAATGCTCCTCTTGCCCTGAGGCTGGTGGCCACACAGACCATGAACAGATTGTTTTAACATGGAGGGAAAGTTCACTTAATGCCCATTAGCGGAGGCCATTATGGAGCCATTTTCCACGTCTCTGAGAGGAATTCCCATTAAAGATCTTTCATTAAGACCCACTGTGATAATTTTTTTTCCGGAAGGATTTGTAAAGGTCTGTGCTGAGGGCATGGGAGCATGTAGCATGATAATAAGTGAGGCACTAGAGAGAAGTTAAACAGAGCGTTGATGTGCTGCAGGCATGAAAACGATGTCTCTCTTGCCCTCTTATGTTTAATTCTTGAACATCTTCAGGCCGAATACAGATTTATTCCTCCCATTAAAGCACTAATAACTTAAACAGTTAATGGTTGGGCTAATTGAGCCATCAATCTGACTTTAGTCAGAAAAATTACATTTGAGTGGGCTCTGTTTGGACAGCTTTTATTTCATGAGTCATTTCTTCCACATTGTTTAGATTCAGTCCCACTTCTTTTTTACATTTTCTTTTGATGGGTTTCTACATATGTGGCTGTTGCTGTACATGCATAAGCAGCAATATAACTATATTATTCAATTTTCATTCCAGTCTTGTCGCCATAGATTTTTTTTCCTTACAGGCACACTAAATTATTCAAACTGCTACTGCTCCTACATAAGACACAACAAAGTGCACTAATTACCATGAATTTATTTTCTTTTGCTCTTCATGGACTGAACTGATAGTGAACTCCTGCTGATCATGTCTGCTTCCAGGAGCCAGAGGGGTTGTGCTCTCAATTCCTCTGAGAGGGTTTTTAGCACCACGGTGTTGCTGTTAATTATCATATGCCTTTTTTAAAGGTTGTCTTAACCTAATTTTGCAAAGGTACAAGTTCATTGGATAAATACTTGGCATGATCTCAAGGTCAGGCCTCAGATAATGACTCAGGGGATTCTGTCCAGGAACCAGCACATAAACCAATTTTTTTCCTATTTCTACAAGTATTCTTCTCATCTTTTTACATTCCTCTTATACTAGCCTATAATGCTTTCATGGAATCGTGCAGATCTCCTTTACTTATTTTACATGTTAATCAATTTTTCTTTTGTCCCTCTCTTCTCTTTCAGGATTCCGCAAAATCAGCCTCGATGACCTACGAAAGGCCTACATCGTCAAAGATGTGCAGCAGTACATCCTCCACCGGCTTGACCAGGAAGAGGCCCTGAGGCAGCACCTGACCAAAGAGACAGCCGAGATGCTCAACCAACTCCACATCAAAAGCAGCGGCTGCTTCTTGTACCTGGAACGGGTGCTGGACGGTGTCGTAGAAAATTTCATCATGCTTCGGGAGATCCGTGACATCCCTGGGACTCTCAACGGCCTCTACCTGTGGCTCTGCCAGAGACTCTTTGTCAGAAAACAGTTTGCCAAAGTCCAGCCCATCCTCAATGTCATCCTGGCAACTTGCAGGCCACTCACGGTAAAGGAACTGTACCATGCTGTCTGGACCAAGAACATGACGCTGACTATGGAGGAGTTTCAAAAAAAGATGGACATTCTCTCCAAGTTGTTGGTGGACGGCCTTGGGAGTACTAAAATCCTTTTCCACTATAGTTTCGCAGAGTGGCTTCTGGATGTTAAGCATTGCACTCAAAAGTACCTGTGCAATGCAGCAGAAGGACACAGGATGTTGGCGATGAGTTACACTTGTCGGGCGAAGCAGCTCAAACCACTTGAAGTGCAGGAATTTGCACTGCACCTTGTTAATTCCAATCTACAGATCGAGCCATTTAATCTGGCTCTTTGGATGGTTTGGAATGGAACTCCTGCTAAAGACTCTCTGACCACCTCCATACCAAGAGAGCAGGAAGTCCTGCAACTTCTAGTGAAAGCTGGAGCTCATGTAAACAACGAGGATGACCATGCATCATGTATTGTGCAACAGGCCCTGGAAAGAGAGGACTCAATACGGACATTACTTGACAATGGGGCATCTGTGAACCAGTGTGACTCCAGTGGGAGAACCCTGCTGGCTAATGCTGCATACAGTGGAAACCTTGATGTGGTGAACTTGCTCATATCTAGGGGAGCGAATATGGAGTTAGAGGACAACCATGGGCAGACAGCACTTACTCTCGCTGCCAGGCAGGGCCATACCAAAGTGGTTAACTGCCTAATTGGTTGTGAGGCCAACATAAACCACACAGATCATGACGGATGGACTGCCTTGCGCTCAGCAGCTTGGGGTGGACACTCAGAGGTTGTATCTGCTCTGCTTTACGCTGGTGCCAAAGTGGACTGTGCAGATGCTGATGGGCGAACGGCTTTGAGAGCTGCTGCTTGGGGAGGCCATGAGGACATAGTGCTGAACCTTCTCCAGCATGGGGCAGAGGTCAACAAGGCAGACAATGAAGGAAGAACAGCTCTCATTGCTGCAGCATACATGGGGCACAGAGAGATTGTCGAGCACCTCTTGGACCATGGTGCAGAAGTGAATCACGAGGACGTGGATGGGAGGACTGCTCTCTCAGTCGCTGCTCTCTGTGTTCCTGCAAGTAAAGGCCATGCTTCTGTTGTGAGCCTTCTGATTGACAGGGGAGCAGAGGTTGACCACTGTGATAAGGACTGCATGACTCCCCTCCTTGTGGCAGGCTATGAAGGACATGTTGATGTAGTTGATCTGCTCTTGGAAGGCGGGGCTGATGTTGATCACACGGACAACAATGGTCGAACGCCTCTTCTTGCTGCTGCATCAATGGGCCACGCATCTGTCGTCAACACATTACTTTTCTGGGGAGCCGCTGTTGACAGCATTGACAGTGAGGGACGGACTGTGCTGAGCATTGCTTCTGCTCAGGGTAACGTTGAGGTGGTAAGGACTCTGCTGGACAGAGGTCTAGATGAGAACCACAGGGACGATGCAGGCTGGACCCCGCTACACATGGCTTCATTTGAGGGCCACCGTCAAGTGTGCGATGCCCTCATTGAGCAAGGTGCTCGCTGCACAGAGGTTGATAATGACGGCAGGATACCGCTGATATTGGCTGCACAAGAGGGACATTATGACTGTGTGCAAATTCTTCTGGAAAACAAGTCATGCATTGATGAGAGGGGGTATGATGGGAGGAATGCTCTCAGGGTAGCTGCACTAGAAGGTCACAGGGATATAGTCGAACTGCTGCTGAGCCATGGTGCTGACATAGACTACAAGGATGCAGATGGACGCCCTACACTCTACATATTGGCACTTGAAAATCAGCTGGCCATGACGGAGTATTTCCTTGAAAATGGCGCAAATGTGGAAGCATGTGACACCGAGGGGAGAACAGCCCTCCATGTGTCCTGCTGGCAAGGGCATGTTGAAATGGTGAGGCTGCTGATAAACTATCATGCTGATGTGAATGCCTGTGACAATGAGAAGCGGTCTGCCCTCCAGTCTGCTGCATGGCAAGGGCACACTAAAGTTGTGCAGTTTTTGATAGAGAACGGCACCCATGTGGATCATACATGCAACCAGGGAGCAACGGCACTGGGCATAGCTGCACAAGAGGGTCACATTGATGTTGTGCAAATACTCCTTGAAAACGGTGCTGACCCTAATCACGCTGATCAATTTGGACGCACGGCAATGAGAGTTGCAGCGAAAGGTGGCCACACGATGATCATAAAACTCCTGGAAAAGTATGGAGCTACAACTCTAAATGGCTGCAATCCCTCCCCAGTTCACACCATGGAAGAAAAAACACCATTGGCTGTGACTGGTAAAATGCAGTCCCTCACGATTAAATCAAGCAGCTCTGGCAGCACTGGGGCAGGAGATCTGCAATCGTCTGGACGTGGTCTGACTAATGGACCCGTCCATGCATTCAGCTCCCCATCAGAATCACCTGATTCAACGGTAGATAGACAGAAGTCCTCCCTTTCAAACAACTCCCTGAAGAGCTCCAAGAACTCCTCTTTGAGAACCACATCATCCACAGCCACAGCACAGACAGTGCCCATAGACAGTTTCCACGGACTGACATTCACAGAACAAATCCAACAGCACTCACTGCCCCGCAGTCGGAGCAGACAGTCTATTGTGTCCCCTTCCTCTACAACCAAGTCCATTGGTCAGCAGCCATCATCTCCATCCAATGACTTTGACTGGTCGATGTTAAAATCAGGCCTTAAGTCAACAAAGGGAAGTAAGACCGGTAATGATACATCGAATAGTAAAGGAGCGCTGGGAGACAAGAAGAAAATAAAAAACAGTGGTTCAATCCAAGGTCAGGTTTTGGAGTACGAAATGACACAATTTGACAAGAGGATTGCCCTCAACAAATCAGTGGCAAACATTTCAGTGAAGGATCCACACTGCAAAATCATGATTGGTGGTTCAATTCGGTCTGAAAGGGGACAAAGCCAAGATCAGTACTACATCCAGCAGCAGAGCTGTGCTGAGAAGAAGAGGAACGGTATCATGACCAACCCCAACTATCACCTCCAGGGTAATCAGGTCTTCCTGAGTAGGGTATCAGTTCCTCGGACTGTACAGAACAGAGGCCACCAGGATGTTTTAGAGAACTATCCCATTGGGGAAACTGAGCTAAGCCTTAAACAAGCCCTGAAACTGCAGATTGAAGGATCAGACCCTGGGTTCAACTACAAAAAGGAGACTCCATTATAGCCGGTAAGAAATACTTTTCTAAATAGCCTTTCAGTGTGTGCTCTTGTTGACATACATCAAGCTTTTGGCTCAGAGTTGACATTAAGGTCAGGGTGACAGCAATGAGACAAGACTAAGGCTTGTCTGTTCACTTAAAGCGGCTAATATAGAGGTTACTGGCTGACACTTGGGTGGAACCGGATCGCGTTCAACACAACCATAATTAGTTGGGATTTAATTGCATGAAGAATGCCTCAATCTGGATGAGCAAAATTTTCAAACCGAATGGGACATTAACCTAAATCTTTCCTGTGCTTTTTCAGATGTCTTAATGCCATTCATCATGCAGACATTGGAGGGAATGTGCCAAAGCAACTGTTTCATCTGCATCACAAAACATCAGATCTGTTTTCATCAGTGGGAGACCTCAGAACAATATCGGGGACGATTGTCTAGTGTTGCCCAAGGCTTATGTAAACTGAAACATCAATGTGCCTACGTCTGTTACAGCTTTCTTCATGTACTCATGCAAACTTTCATTTTAATTTAATGTAATGCTATTTAATAAACAGTGTATGCACTTTTAAAAGAGTTAAATGACAGACATGCATTTGTTCTTTTCACTTTGTAACCCATCCATGTTTTATCAAGAAATGTTGGAGACAAACATACCAATGCTTTTGTTTTTATTATTTTTATATTATGTTTGTTCCGTCTCTATTTCTCACCCTGACAGCAATGTGCCACTGAGTGCATTGTCACAAACCACAGGACATAACAGTAACTGATTGCCATGGTATGAATCTAAGCGCATTGATAGTCTGCCTTTCTAGAGACCCCAAATAATCTGTGTTAACCTTGATCAGTGTGCTTACGTTGTGTGTAATATGTTAATAGCTATGGCAATTTACTTCATGAGTATATACAAGCATATTTATTTTTGGAAAAAAAGCCACTTTTGCCGCATTTTGTTTTGCATTATGCTCTACCATGGTGCTGTGTTCAGAAGTTGCCTGCAGTTATTTTGGACTCCCAGTTTTGTTGGCTTTGTGTGTATGTGTATTGTTACAGATATCTAGGAGAGAGGGAGGTTCAATGAAAATGTTAAAAAAAATCATTTTGTCCCTATGGGATTTTTCATTTGCTTGTGTTTTATTATTTTATGTGTACAAAAATATTTAATGAACTCATTGTGTACCATCAGCAGAAGTTTGGTGCTAAATGCAGCGATTTCAAGTGAAAGCAGGGATTTGAAGAAATGCATCTGTCCGAAGAGTTACTTGTATAACCAAATGTAATGCAAGAAACAAAACCCGAGCTTTGTTTCCTTCTGGTCATGTGGTTCATTTCTAGTAATTCTTGACGGACTTTTCAGGGGGTATGACACAAAACAGCTTGAAAAGGGTTCAGCCATCCAGACAACTCATAGCTGTGAATGGTTTTGTTTGCAATGCAGAGTTAAAAAGCCAAAGTTGAAATAACATTACCCTGTGCCACCTCCCCTTTGTGAGAAGCTGAATATCAGCTCAACAGGACCTAACCCTGCAGGAGACAGAGGGGAGGAGGTGCTCGACTGTGTCGCTGAGGGAACCGAAACATCTGTTTCTCATGAACTGTGTGGAGCTGCGTTAGCGTTTAAAGGCTGTGTCATATTTTTGCAGGCTTTTCATATTGTCAACAGTGGGCTATATTTTGGGATCAGAGGGAGTAGAAACCTATCGCATGCACAAACACTTATAAGCCCAAGTGAAAACTCGCAGTGCCACAGTAGCTCAACTATACGCCATGAAGGGTCAATGGAAGGATTCAAGGCAGGATCAGGTTTAGAAACAGTGTTGGAAAACATACTGTATAGTCTTATGAAACAGTTCTCTTGTTTGTCTCGACTGTATTTTGTCTGTCATCTTTGATTTGACTGTCAGTGATTGGATTGTAAATAGCTTACCGTGTACATTCAACTTTCATTTAAAAAGAATTCCTGTATTATATGAAGTGGAATTTTCTGATGTATATTAAAGTGCTTAATAAACATATTTGCTTTAACTGCTGAAAACTGTGTTTTTTTTATTTCTAACCTGATAACTGCAAACACAAACTGGGTGTAATGTTAGAACAAGGTCGTGTTAAGAAAAAAGGTACATGAATGGATGTTACAAGCTCAATGCTATTCATCTGAGCTTGTACTAACTTTTTTGCTCCTCTTTTTGCCGACGTCATCTGTGCCTAGATCGTAAAACACCGGTGCATCATCATTATTAGTCCCTGGCAGCTCACTTCTGTTTTGGCTTTTTTATTTGCATCCTTTTAATTTCGCAGTTACTTTTTTTTCTAGTCAATTATTTTTTTGTTTTTATCTGCACTGTTTCTTTTTTTTATTTGCAGCGGGCATGGGTTTCTTCTGTTTTTATTTCTTTTTATTTTATATTTTTTAGTTTTTTTAAATTAATTGATTTATTTTTTTATTTGCAGAAGTGGCGTTTCTCGGCCAGCATACAGATGACTGTAGCAGACGAGTTGGAAGTGTACAAAATAATATGTAATTCATCATCTTTTTCAACACAAATTGACTCAAATATCGCGAGGCGCTTTAAAGTCGATTGCCGCTTGTGACGTCATCGCACGCGTTCCGAGCCCGCGCGCGAAAATAACGTCGTTTTCCGGAAATACTAAGGAGTGAACGCTCTTGCCTCAGTGGAATCTTTGCGGGAAGCAACAGGTAAACAAAACGTAGCAAAATGAAGGAGTGAGACATCTTGTACTCTTACTATCTCTGCTTAGTGTTGCACGTGCCTACTCGCAAGCGGGAAACAGGAAAAGACAACAGGACATGGCGGCCACCATAGCAACCGGAACTCCTGAAACCCCCGCAGTCCAGGAGGCTTTTAATCCAAACTGTCTTCAAGATGTCAACATGGAGCTTTCAAAGGGGAGGCAGTCCGAAGTTAAAGCCACACTGGGTGAGTTTTTAGCTACATATTAGTGACCTTAAAAATCTTAATCCTATCACACTGTATATCTTTGTCTTCCTATCTTTTGAAACACAAGAGTAAATTTTAAGCTTACTGTATTAAAACTTAATCATTTTTTCAAGGTGATGATTTAATTGTATTTTGAGAGCTTAAAAGAGTACACTAGTCCTGCTGTTTAAAAGCTTATCATTGATGAGCCCTTGAAGCAAATGCTAGCGGCTAAAATTAGCGTTACTGACATGACTATCAACTTGCAAACGGCAACATAAACCTGTTTGGACTAACTTTAGTTTTCTGGGTGCATCTTAGACAGGTGGCTGTCAAAGCTTTGAGTGCGGTATTTCAAAATAAAACACCAGATGCAAATTCCTGACTGTATATCAGTTTGTGTAGATGAGAAATACTTCCTGGTTCTGGATTTATTAGTAACACAGAACAATCCGATGGTCAATCCCTGATCCATGTGGAGCCCAACAGGACTTTTAATTGCTGACTCTGTCTGAAGGTAACAGCACAGCATAAAGGAACAGAGTTTACTTTATTAAACACGAGTTAACCTGCAAAAACCCAAACTGTAAAATCATGTTGCTTTTTCACATGTAGTAGAGGCTCAACAGTCACTGAATTATATCCAAATTAGCAGGAAATAAACCAAAGAAAGGCAAGTTTTGATGTCTGTTTCTGTATATGGTTCATATTTACTACTGCTGCCATGGTTCCATTTGTTGGGCCTGTTGAACATTTACGATTTCAAGTAAGGGATGCTCTGATCATCATCCATGCAGATTGGAAGGAGGAGAAATCTCAAACACAATTTACACCGCAGGATCATCTATCAAGATCATCTTTAGATCCATCTGATAAACTGACGTTTGTTAGAAGGAGGATCAGTCCCAAAATCAGCTCGATTATCCTGTAGTGCGTTCCCTGCTTTAGCATCGGTATACCTGTTGTGAGCATGTTGTTTCCTCTGTACTGAGCCCAGCTGACCGGCGCTGCATTACTTTGCTGCTACGCTCCAAATTCACATCCTGTATGCGAGCGCTTAATACGGATCATGTCTGTTTTTGGCTTGAAGCAGTCAGTTCTCAAGTCCAACACACTTAAAAGATACTCTACACATAAACTAAGATATATACAAAAATGTAATAACAAAATGCAATAAAACACAGTGTCTAAGATGGATACGACTACTAAAATGAGGAATGTTATATAACAGCAGCGGTGGGGGCTGAAATGTAACAGCATCGTAAAGGGCAACATTGAATTACTATGTCTTACCCCAGCTCAGAAAAAAGCTGTTTATCACCCCATATTTCTAGCTGAACTGCCAATACTCCTGAACTCAAGGCAGGCTGATTGATCAGTCTGGAACAGAGAAGCTTGTTCTAGCACTGAAGAGCCGTTGACTTATCGGCATTTTTTTAAAGATGAGATAATAAGATGATTGAGAGGGTGAAGGCAACTCCTCGAACCCCACAAACCCGCAGTGACTGATTATATTTTCCCACGGATTCCCATTTCTGTCTGAAGGCCATTTCAGTCACTGCAGTGATACTTTACTCATGCATTGGGTCTGTGAAGCTACAGGCTATGCATTCAATTCCTACCTCGCTGTTGGTTATTTGATGGTGGAGGGCCAAACCAGGACACTGCAGGCAGCACGACACATGGATCAAGCTGAAGTGGAACACAGGAGTGTGCCAAGTGCTACCACTCACCCCCCTTCCCCTCGGTTCACTCGGTTCATCGCAGTCAAACGGGAGCTGCCAGGGAGATCAAATACACAGATGGCGGTGGTTTGAGGATCTGTTGACTTTTCATACGCGTTTTATGATAACTTGCAAGATTGCATTCCTTTAATTTTAAGGGCTGTAACTGGATTCCTTTTCTGTCATTGTAAATCAAATCTTATACGGAGTTTAAATTCAAAAGAAGCATGAGTTTTGATGCTTTCCATTCAGGAGCGTTTTAGCTCGCAGGACAAAGACGATGGGATTGGACAGAGTTGTTGCACGGACTAATTAGACTTAATTGCCGGCCATTATCCAACATTTCATCAGAACAATTCACCAGAGCAGCTCGAGAGATCTTTGACTTTAGGACTTTGAGTACAGTCTTCTCTGCATGTTTTGAGAGGGTGGGTGTTAATGAGGAAACCATCTGGTTCTGATGTAATGTAGTATGTCCTGTCCAAGCTTGGAGGATCTCCCTGTGAAGCATCTGCCAGTGGCCACATCTGGTTCTTCTCCACCCATGCCCTTGTTTTGGATACAGCACTAACAAGCTCCCACGCAATATATACACAACATGGCGACAGTTGTGGCTGAGATGTTCCAATCGCAACTTTAGACTCAGGGCTCTTCATTTACGAACCTCCCTGAGCCTTTGACGTTTAGGTTTTCACTCCAGAAAAACACTCTAGAATCAGATTTTTTGGCAGAGCTTGTTTTTGCACACATGGTTCCAAACTGGCTGAAGGCGACTATCAAATCATAAAACGCTGTTGTGTCCTTGTGGGAATATTTTTTTTTTCCCAGCATGCCTCTGCTATAGGAAGCCTAACAAGAATGCAAACATTGAGAAGATGTCTTAGCAGCTTGGCAGGGCAGTGCATAGTGTCTGGGTTCCAACTCTCTGCTAAGACATATGTTGCGTTTCAATATGGCAGATGTTGTATATTACACTGTGTGTACGATAATTACAGTTTCACATTTGTTGGAGACCTTAGAGAGTTTAGAAAATGCAAGCATAATTGGCCAAAGATGGAACTATAAGCGCTGTTACCAAAGCTACGAGGCCATGGTATGAAAAAGCATGAAGCACTGTGTTGCTATAAAAGGAACAAATGCGCTCAACATATCCTGTTCAATGGAGAAGTTACTTAATAAATGCACTGATTTGTTTCTGCACCGCAGTGTACCCAACTCTCCACTCTTCTCCAAAATCTGAGTGTAAAGGGTGGTGATGCCTTAAGGCAGTGGTTCTCAACTGGTCTCACTCTGGGACCCACATCTTCCCATGGTCCTTAAAGGTTCTTTCACACCGGACCGTTTATTTCGGACATCAATATTTTTTTTCCAACGCATATCCTATCAATACAAGCGTTCACATTAGCGACGTTTTCCTGTCCTGCGATATTGCGGCATTTATTTTTTCGGATCATGGTTGATTTTTCTAAAGTTTCGCATACCGTGTGTCCACTTCTGACCAATCAGATTGCGTGTTCTTGGGACGTCTGATTCACCAGTATATCCAACATGGCCGACTGGCTGATTGTTTACGTGTCGGAGAACAGAGTGCTTTTTGATAAAAGACACAAATATTACAAAGATAACGACCTGAAGGACAACATACCTTCGGATTTCTCATATGACGATAGTTTGTGTGCTTTAACAGTTTGCTAAACGTCTTTGTTTTAACTTTCATCTGTGCTAACGTAAGCTAACGGTTGTTACCATAGTTTCATGTGCTTATCTTATCACCTCTAAATGGCTATAAGTGCTGACCATTTTGCTAGAGCGTGTGATGACGTTTCCAGCGAAGGAAGCAGGGCTTTATCTCTGAAGGAGAGCTTTCTTTGACTGGTGCGTTCTCAGAGGTGTCTGGTTTTCATGTTTCAAAACTTTTACAAATTTGTCCTGGTCTCTCATCGTTTTCAGTTAAATCAGGATATTACTCCAATTATCTGACTAGAAAAGAACTTAAATCTTCTTTTCTATGTTCTGAGTTGATTCCATGGTTGTTGCCATGTCCAAGACCTGCAGGATTTTTTTTTTTTCATCTACTCGCTCAAAACACTGCGCTCCTCTTACTGTGTCGATTTTGTCACTTATCTGCTGTAAGTCTATTGTGGACACTGATTTCTCTCTGCTTCCACGCATCTGTCACAATATTGATTTTTTTACCCGTGTGTGTGTGAGTGACAGCCACAGCCGGGGTGAAATCAGTTCAAGGTTTGACATTTGCCTTTTTTTTCTTTTTGCTGCTGTTAACTTTAATAATTCTGCGACCAGGCTTTGATTTATGCACGTTAGGGGAGTTTGGAGAGAGTTTGACATTTCACAGTTTTGATCAACTCACAATCATCAAAGATGACGATTCAGCTGAGACCTCAGTTCACTAACACAACAGACACAGTTAGGGACTGTTGCAAAAGTTCAATGCTGCTCTTCACACTGTGAATATACATGGGCCGTCACTTTTTATTGGAAGTTTGAACCCTCATTTGAACTCCTGAGGAAAAGGTTCATATTTCAACTCAAATGAGACTCATTATAAAACAGGATTATTATGAGTGCATTTAGCGTCCTGAGTCCTCTTGTTGTAACCTGACCAGTCCATGCACTCTTGACATCGGTAAACTAATATACTAATGTTGTTCTAGAAACATGCAAATCAGATCATACCTCCACATCACCACCTTTATCTGTGTGCAATAAACTTTGTCAAACAGAAAAAAATGGCACAGCAGCATTATATTGGTGGGAAAGTCAGGGTTGAATCATTTATCTAAGGTGGGAAATCCTTATTAAGGGCTCAGATTTTAATACTCGCTGCAACGTGAGATTAATAATTTGATTTGAATAAAAAAACTGAAATTTATTGTCTGTTATGGACAAAAATGAATAAAACTATAAGTAAGTAAAGCTGAAATGAGACTAAACCTAACAAGCATTTTAATCTAAAGCTGAAGTAGTTTCCAAAATAAATCTAAAATTATAACTCTTGATCTGTAAATTTTTCCCTTTTTTGTACTTTTTATCCCACTCTACAAATTAAAGTTAAAAAAATATATATTTCTAGTTTTTTCCTGTAGCCTGACGCTGGTTTTCTGTCATTTAACATCTCTAATTTTACAGTAAAATGCCAAAAACAACAAAATTAATCTCATGTGCTCCACCAGCCAATTTACATAGAACTTGCTTATAGTTAGGGACCAGTACATACCTTTTTCGCAAAAGTGATCATTCTGCCATGCCCACAGCTGACAGTAAATAAAGACTGTAAGGATACATCCCACTGGACTACTTATAAGCTCCAAATGTTAATTGCTGCTCTGGAAATCTGGCGTCTGAAAGAGCATAAATAGGCAACAACTGCAGATCAGTGCCAGCAGTGATTTGGAGAGGAGGCAGCCAACCGTCGGCTCATGGAGAAATTTTACAAAAGGGATATTTAAATCTGTCCGTCCACTTTCGAATGACACAAGAGCAGCCATGTGGAGCCTTTCATCAGACCCTGCTTCAAATTAGATTGGATGGAGCTGCCAGTTTAGCAGCATATTGTTTCAGTGCTGAGCAGAAGGGATGATTTTTGTCTCGTAGCAAGAAGAGGAGATGACTGCGAGCTCGAAATTTGAAGTGGAAATTAAAGTTGATGATGACGGTCTATTGACCTTGAGAGGAGCTCCAAATCTATTCACAGCTCTATATTTACACTATTTCGATGGTTAAGAGTCAGTCGGTTTTCCTCATAAAGCTGTTACTCAATCTATTCAAGTGGGTATTTTCCCAACCACACCTGCTCTCCACAAAATCTTGCTTTACATTGACGTAATTTGGGCCCAGCAGCAGCTTTTCAAGGGAGGTGATGTAACTTATGAAGAAAAAGTTCATATTCAGTCAGTGAGGAAAAGATGAACTCATCGGGATGAAAACACACCCTGCTTTAGTTTTGGGAAGGATGAGGATTATGTTTCTATATTTCTATGCCAGTTAGATTATACCAGCCTGTGCCAGTTTATACAAACAGCAAACAGATGCAGCTTTTAAACATAGAGCACATGATCCACACGTCTTACATGCAGGTTGCTTTCTTATCCATCTTCAAGGTCAGTTAAATTGCAGGAAATCACTTAAACCGTTTCAGTTTGTCATCAGTTATGTTGACATGGAGATTAGAGATTCTTATTTGACTATTTTCATGGATGCTGAATAAAAAGTTTCAGATGTGCACATGTAAGAGATCAGCCAGTCCCTCCATTTCCTCTCATTAACAAACCCTGCTGTTCACAGATAATTGTTGAAAATGTGAAATGAGAAAACAAAAAGAGACTAACGATGTGTCAAGATTAAGGAATAATATTGTTGTAAGAATATTTCAGCCGCACAAGGCTTAAATATTAAATTTTTGGCTTATGCTACATTCCAGTTATACTCAGAAGTCGGGATTTCCGAGCTCCGAGTCGGAAATTGATCTGGAATGCCCCCTGAAGTCGTAATCAAACATCAGACAGACGTCATAATCCAACATGGCAGCGCAGTGCATCAACAGTACAGATTAACAGTGAAAGCTCTCGTAATGTATTATTTTTTAATCCTTCTGTTTTGTTTTTGTGAAATTAAAGAAGTGGTACATGTTGTACTGCCCAACGTCTAACTGTGAACACGGGGCTATGGTGTTTGTAAGAGTAAAATACTGTGTTGTGCGTTGTTTACAACTGATATTGCTAACAACAACTAACAATCGGTGGCAGCAGTTTACAACAGCTAACGACCGCTAACAACAACTAGCAACCGCTGACAACGGCTAACGATAGCTGACAACCACTAACAACAACTGACAAAATGTGACAACCGCTAACAACAGCTGACAACTGCTAAAAACAATTAACAACAACTGACAATGGCTAACAACAGCTAACAATTGCTGAGAACTGCTAACAACAACTGACAACCGCTTATGACAGCTGACAATTGTAAACAACAGCTTACAACCGCTAACAACAACTAACAAACGGTGGCAACAGCTTACAACAGTTGACAACCGCTAACAATAACTAGCAACTGCTGACAACAACCAACAACAGCTAACAACAACTGACAACCGCTAACAACAACTAACAACCGCTAACAACAACTGACAACAACTGACAACGGCTACCAACAGCTGACAGTTGTAAACAACAACTAACAACAACTGACAACAGCTTATCTTAGCTGACAAATGTAAACAATAGCTAACAATGAGTAACTGTAGGCGTCCATCTTGGTTTTCCAACTCGTTAACTGAAACGCCGTTGACTCGGTGTAACGTCATTCCCAGCTCTGACATCCGACTTCCAGGGTAACTGGAATGCAACAATAGTTTAAACTTGTGACTTTCGATCTGTTACCATGACAACCACATAATTGTCAGCTGAGAGTTGCCAGTAAATGGGATCACTCCTTAAACCCTACCACTACTCTCATCACATAGGCCTCAATCCAGAAATCTCACCTGTGGAGCTTTTTGCCTTTAAACGAATAAATCGAGAAATGTGCTACGATGAGAGGTCATTGGTACTGATAGAAAAAAACCATCACCCCCCATACAGATATACGATAATGATCACTTTGTAGCTCGGGTACAGCTTGTAGGAACTTTTTGGACTCACATAATGCCAGCGAGGAATAATCACAAAGTGCTTTAAGACGCAGTTTTGACAGCCTGCTGGATTTTATGCTCCTTATTGGCAACAGCTCAAACAGAGAGCGTGGAGGTTCAATGAGGCCATCCTCATCTGGATTTGTGTCGATGCAGTACAGGAGATGCAGATAGACGTATTCATGAGCACTCTAGGAACCAGGCGTTTAAAAGGTGGCTTTACAGACCTGCTTTTGCTCATCTGTTTTCATAAACAGCTCTTAGATCCATCAAAAGGACTGAATGCGCTGTCGTGAATGCAGATTTTACAAAAGGAGGATTCCTTTTTGAACTCTTTTCTCCTGTCTGTTGCATTGCAGCAGAAGTTGAATTCAGAATTTCGGGAGGGGGGAAAAAAAAGCTCCTGCTTTAAAGCTGCCTCCGCTCGACAACAATGCAGCAACTCACAGCCAACAAAGCTGCAGAATGAGAGATTATACAGACTGTACTCCTCTTTGTTGCCTGTTTACATAATCCACACAGTCTCTCATCAAGGAGCATGGATGAAAAGCTTTCATCGACTCTTTGTGGAAAACCTGTTTTCTTCTTTGAAGCCCAACAAAGTGGCCCAACATGTACACAGGTGTTCCACTTTCTCCGAGCACGCTTTGGACAACACTTGACTGTAAAACGTCGAGGCACGGCGTCTTTCTGTGGGGAGACAAAACACCGAACCATGCTCTTTTGTATGTGGCTGCTTTGGCTTTAGAGCACCATCATACTGTGCATCATTAATCATTATGGCTGAAGCCAAGGACAATAAATGGACCAGAGCTTCACACAATGGAAAGACTGTAGCTCCACAGGCTGAGATATTCCGGTGCGAGACAAAAGCAGCTGCCTGTTAACCAGCTCCAAGCTGTCTAACTTCCTCATGCAAACCCCGTATCTCCAAATGTCAGCTTTCCAGGGACTTAGAAAAACAGCTTTGTTGACATCTTGAGGACAATCCAGTTTTGAAGCCACTCTGTGTTCTCGAAAAGGTTTTGTAAGCCCAAGAGGTGAGAGAATTTCCCCGGCCTGTGGAGCATATAATCCTCTAATTCACTTTTATTTGGGCTGCAAGGTTAGCACCCAGCAGAGATGATATGCCGGAAAGTGGAATCTGTTAGAAGCAGCCGGGGATGGAAAGGTGTTAAAGTCAAAACATGGGTAACTCTATTGTTGTTTACTGGGTTATACTTTTCCCTTTGTTGTCGTCCAAATCTATTCTCTGCTTTGTAGGATCATCACCTGACAAGATAAAATGAAGAAGAGAGAATAAGTGTCAACAAGCTAACCACTATAATTAAAACGATCAAGTTTGGCAGACTTGCTTTGGTAAACAACAAAAGAATGATTTTTTTCCCACTGGTTTAACGTTATTTATAGATGTTTTGTTTTTTCAAACGGATCAGAAAGTTCAAGGTTTTAGTGCTGTCAATGTATGTTATGCAGATTTTCAGTAACTTTGACCTCAATATCAACAAAGAGAAAACCTTTACAGCCCTACAGTGCATTATAATGTTGTAACTTAAATGAAACACCTACAGGCGCATTGGGACTAAGTATCAGGACCATATTTTCAAATTGAAACTTAAGGCTTTCTCTGCAAATTTGACCCACCAGGTCACTGTGTGTGACCCCAGTGTTGTTATATGACACCAGTGAGGGTGTTATGAATGGCAGCTCATCGGCCAAAGAAGAAGAAATTAAAAGTTTCATGGCAGCAGACGATGACGGGGATGTCAGCATGAGCGGCAACCTCCAGTCTGAAGAAAAGAAACCAGTGATAACCTCAAAACACGAAAATGGTCGGGATTGCTAATTGACCTATCACAAAGCCACACACCCCCTTAGTTACTGTTGCTAGGTCTGTCAAACTTCTCGGATCTGATGGACTGTCGACACACTTTTTTATTTTTTATCAGCATCATCCTAAAACCCATGAGAGTGCTGGCACAGCCAATATACCTACAGGGCTAACAAGCTAGCTAGCGTTATCATAAGGCTTAAGAATCGTTTTGCAGCTCCACACATTTTTTTGTCCTTCTTTTACGCCAAAATGGCTCTTTTGATTGTAATGGTAGCATGAATGTAAGGCGTCAAGCTACTTACAGTCTTTGGTGTCAAGGCATTATTACATTCAGGTTCGGCACTTTTACAGCAAGTACAGGGTTGGGATATTCAGGAGTAGACTTCCCGTTCACAAAATGCTACGTAAGGGATAAAAATAAAATACGTTTAAATTGTCTGTTGGGACTCTATGTTAAACTTTGATGTTAGCTGACAAAGCCGAGGTTAGCCTTACCTTGGAGCAGATGTCTTTATGCTTGTTTATTTCAGTGACATTTAGCTGGGAATGGGGCCTTATCCACTGTAGGCAACACTCCTTCTGAGCACATCGCTTTACCAATTCGCTAGTGGTCTGTGGCTTGTCGGACCCTGCTTGCATAGTAATGGTTGCTAGGCTGTGTGATTGGACAGTGATCGCTTGGGGGCGTGGTTTTGCGAAAGGTCAATTTTCCTGTCTGTAAACGCTTTTTAGGAGGGATTTTTGCAGTATCTCACATGTATGTGACATTATTCCTGAGTTTAAACTCGTATCGTATCGTCTCGTCTATCACCCATCAAATCAAGCCAAGTCATAAGTTACAAAGTTTGTTATTTCTGTATCAAATTCATTTCTTCACCACCTCTTGCACAGGGGCGGTATCAGATTACATTTAAAAAAAACTTTTTGCGCCCTAAATTAGTTTTTACAACCGATGTACCAATTTGTCCACAGGGGGTGCCAAAACCAACATAAGCAGAAAGTTCCTCACATGCATAGTTACTCATAAAGTTATGGAGAGCGGCTGAATGTGGCAGGTTCTCAAAAGTTGAAAAAGACCTGAAAAAAAGTGACTTTTTAGTTGTTGTTCAAATTCACTGAAACTGTTTTGACGGTGCTCCTCCAAAGCCGCAGTATTACATTAAAACATCATCCGAGCCTCTTAGCTGCAGAGTGAGTAATGAGAATAATCGACAATGACAGAAAGTGTAGATAAAAAACAACATTGAGACTCGAAAAAGTAAAAAGAAGAAGAAAAAAAGTTTGCAAGTGAAGCGCTGAGCTGAAAATTAAATCAGCTGCAGGTGATGTTTCAATGACGGAGGAAGATTGTGGGTAACCGTGCGTGCTAAGTCCAATAGTGTCGTGATTGGTATTCCTTTGCTGGAGGACAAAGAGACTAAAAGCGGATTCCTCCTAAAGTTTGTCTTAATCCAGGCAATTTCCATAGGAAGAGAATTAAAGGAGAAGAGACGGCAGCACAAAGTAAAAGTAGACAGTGTCACTTTGACCTCAGAGATGGAGATGCCCGCTTTATGACAGTGCTGCAAATGAAGATAAAGATGTGGTGATGGTGAAACAGTGCAGCAGTTTCTGAATGAAACGGCGCGTGGGCGAGGAAACATTCCGAGTGGGATTTGATCAAACAAAAGTGGGCGTAGTTTGGTGACAAATGGGCCTGGAAAGACTTGCAGCATTGCAGAGGTGTAGATGACTGATTGTTTACACCCACACCTCCTTCATTGGATCGGGGGTGGTAAAAGGGTGATGAAGAAATGAACAAATAAGACCTAAACCGCGGTCATTCAGTAAACCAAAACAAACTGGTCATTTTGAAACAAACCAGAGGGTGATACGACAGTTTTGGGCGTACATCCAAATGGATTTTGAAAACAGAGGGTCTGAAGTGGAGCTAAGGACAGTCATTGTCACTAACTTCCTTTTTTGTAATGAGGCTGTCCATCATTTCATCATCAGCATTTTTTCAGACTGTCTTTTTTTTCCAGTCCTGACAATGATTATCTATTATAATTCAGAGCACACTCACTTTGTACCTGTTGTACCGTTATTCTCTGTCTCTTTTCTTGAACTCATCTTTGTCACGTCTGCCTCCTCTCCGTCTCTCGGCCTTTCTTTGTCTGCCCTCACCTGCTTTTTGCTCTGACTTTTTTTCAGTCCAGACGGTGATTATCTGTCCTTGATTCTTATAGACATCCAAGTTTTCTACAAGTTGGATCTTTTGTCTGTTGAAGGGGTGAGGTAGAAATGAATCTGGTTGAAGAAATTGTATTAATAATTCCGTCTTTTCATGCCCCTTTATTCTGTATTGATTTCTGCATGGTTTCCAGACATCAATATAAGTAAAAAATCATCCTGATTAGGATTTTTGCCATCAAACAGCCCTAGTTTATATCTCTTAGACGGTACTCAGCGTTTTTTCTTTTTTTCAGACCATTGGGTAATATCAGAAACAAAAGACGAAACAACAAAATGCAGACTTGCTTGAAACAGCATTTGCTCATCAGGCTGAAAAAAGTCCGCTCCACCTGGGTGTTTTATTGGCACTGAGCTGCAAAATCGGCTTATTATGCAAACTTATTATCGCCGGGAGTTAAGGAAATTTCACAGTGCTGGCAGACCTTTTTTTCTCTCCCTCTTGCTCACGCTCGCTCACTACCTGGCTCTGTCTCTCCTCTTGGCTTTGTCTCCTTTATTTTTCTTCCCTCTTTTCTTCTTTGCTCGCTCTCTGTCTCTCTGCCTGTCACGCTCTTGTTTACTGTCTTTGTTTTTTCCCCTCTTACTTTTGTCTTTTATTTCCTTTTACCCCACATCTCGATATTTTGATTAATATCTCCTTCGCGGTCTGTGTCATTTCCTTTGTCTCTCTTTTTCATAGCCCTGTCCTCTGTGTTTCTTTCTTCTTTGTTTGTCCTCCTTTTTGCATTTCCTGTCCCTTTCTGTTTGCTTTCCTCTGTCGTCCTCCTTGTGACCCCTTTCTTCCATATTTTCCTGTCTTTCTCTTTGTGCCTCTGCTGCCTTCCTGTTGCTCTGCCTCTTTGCGGCTCATTCTCTCTCTCTTTGTGTCACTCAATCATGCGCTGTTTGTTCCCTGATTGGGGGAATTTTCCCTTTTGTCGTTTTCCTCTGTCTCTCTGTCACGTCTGCTTTCTCTCTGTCCCTCAATTCTCTTTGTTTCGTGCCCTCGCCTGCCTCGTGCTTCGGCTCCTTTCGTTTCTTCCCTCCGTCAGCAGAGAGCAGACCTCAACACGGCTGCTGCAGAGTTCATCCGAGGACAGGACCGGGCTCTGCTGCTGTTTCTGTTGCGCGCACACACACACACAAATGCGCACACACCGTTTGTCGGACGATTCAGAGTGTTGGGTGTAACGGGGCCCGGGGACAGATGGAGAACAGTGACGATGAAACAAAGACATTCTGAGAATTTCACTGACGCAAAAGAGCAGAGTGTGCAATATTAAAATGACAAGGCAGGCTTAGTCGAGGATGCCACATGATATCACAAATGCATGCAGTTCAGCCACGTTCACACATGAACACACAAATACTGGCACAGACTCGGGCCCCTCTCGGGTTCAATTTTCAGATCTCCTCGCCGTGTGCTTCTGCCAGTATTCAAATGAGTTTTGTCAGGAGTGCTTACCAGATTTGACCCGGTTTGACTTTTGCAGCAGATGTTTATCAGCGCTCCCAAGACCTCGCTGGATATCAGTTTTCACAATCTATACAGCAAAACAAAGTCAGAGTTTGAGATCTCAGATATTATGCAGAAGCCGTGGGACAAATATATCAGCTTTGTTTATCTGTAAAGATGCAATAAGATAAAAGGAAATAACACAGTGGGGGAAATCAGCGGCGCTGTTGCCAGAAATACTGTTGTTCCTTGGCTCCTGATGCTGAATTGAGCTCAGCCAGTGAGATTAGCCACGCTAGCTGTGTTTCCGTGGGGACGGTAACGCTGGCTTGGCCTTACAAAACATCTCTGCGGCTCTTAAGTGTGAAATATCTCGACAGCTACTGGATATAGATATGTAAAATCTATATAGGATAAGACTTTGTGCTGAGGTTGTTTCCTAAATTTCACTTTGTGTCTTTGAAATGAGGATTTTTTTTCCACCTCACATGATCAGCCAATGCTCTAATTAACAACTGCGTTTTGAGCCTTGCGGTACAGGCTCAAAGTCGTGTGCAGGATGTTAGCAAATTAATTATATGCTAAAGATACTCTAGTGGTAGTTATAGCATCACTTGGGATTTAAGGTGCAGCATGTAGGAATATTGTGGATATTTAGCTGTATCTAGTGGTTTTAGATGGAAGCAGTCTGTCTGTGAAGCAGCTGTGACCTTCGTGAACAATAAACTTCTGTGGTGCATGACAAGTCTGGTCCACCATCCCTCTAGTTTCCAACCATCCATTAGCCGACCACCAAACTTCAAAATCCAGCAGAAAGATGTTCTTCATGTAACTAAATGTTTTTGTGTTTGCATGAAAAAGTGAGTGTCATCTGCATAGAAAGATAGCAGTGTAGTTCACAATTTGTCTGCATTTGGGTAGATGCGTTTTTATAGATTTAATATTATGAATGCCCGTCCCAAATCACACATCAAAAACACTAAAACATCTACAATTTACAGCTCTGGTCCAATCCACACATATATTTTAACCTCGCTGTTCTATATCGCTTTTTATAGTTACATTAGATTGTTGGTCAACATGTAGACATTCACAGTCAACTATTGACTCACTTACCCGTCAGTTTTTCCATGACAAATTCAACTTTGAAGAAATATTGAAAATGTTCTGTAAATGTTCGGCTGTGTTCAACACATGACGTTGCGCCGCCGTTTTTTAACATGCGCGGCAAACCATCAGGTGAGCCCGCAGATTTGACATCGTTAGCGAGTAAGACTTGCTCTGAACAAAGTCGACATACGGCTCTATCTTTGTTTTTTATTTTTCATCTATGATGTAAAGCCCAAATACTTCCACACTGAGTCCACAGATGTTTGGTGACATCCGCTTTGCTTGATGTGAGAGGACACCGGTCGATCCACAGTGAATGTCCGTCGAATATCCAACCTAAAACTAACTTCACTGCGGTATTTACATGAAAAAACATTTGTTGCCTCGGCTAATTTTCTTAATGCACACGTGTGTCCCTAAATACCGTTTACAATTCGCACACATCTATTTTTGATCACAAATGTGAGTGAAAGGGTCGCACTGTCAAGTTTGCTTAGCCCAGTGCTGATAAATACTGCACACTGCGCCTTTAACTATTCTAATGTGGGATTTTCCAACTAACTTGCCTCATAGACAATAAGTTTGGACATTTCAAACCAATGCCAAATACCTCTGTAAACTGAATCAAGTCAAAACATTCCAGCAGATATGAACTCTCAGTCTCGGTATCAAACCCAAATCAGATCAACCGTTCTATCAGCCTGACCTTGATTACACTAAATCAACAGTCAAAGTTAATGTAACACGACCTCCCTGATGAGTCTCCTTTTAAGGAACAGTACCAGACTGCTGTTCAGTTCAGAGCCGTCCAGCCTTGAGCTCCTATCATGGTTTTAATTCTCTTTAGATCACATGTGGTGGGCTCTTTTGTGTTTTTTTTTTTTACACGGTTTTATTTTCTGTTGTGTAACGAGCATTACAGCATTGTTGGCTCGGCTGTACATGTTTGGTCCTTTTGTTTACCTCGGAGACACATTAACATAGCGGACGGTCTAAGTTGCTACACAGTTGCTACAGTATTAGAAGGCTAATTGTGTCTGGCCGGAGTGTCTATTCTCGCAGTAGACATTTACTTCCCTCCATTCAAATCCGCGGCCAAGCTTTGGAGTGAGACACCAAACTCTGAGAGGAGCTGCTATTCAGCACAACCAGTGCATGACTTTTCAAACCCGGCCTCCCTGCCATGTGAATGCTGCCTGACCTGGCAACCCGGAGCTTCCCCTCACATCTCTCTGTCACCCTCTCCTCATTAGCACTAACCCTATTCCAGGTCAATACCTATGGCACAGAGACGCCCCCATACACAAGCACCACTACACACACTCATGCGCTCACACACACATTCTTTATCCCCTGCTTTCTTTCCATAAAGTCACAAACACACACACACACACACACACACACACACACACACATGCTCTGTCTTTCTGTGAGTCTCTTTGTCCTGCTTTCTTTATCCCTTTCACACAAACACATAATGACACACATATTGCTGATCAGGGCAGCCGAGCAGGCAGGAGTCTGACCTCATTAGGGACTGTGGCAGGCAGCCAGGGGAGGGCCTGTCCATGAATGACCAAGAGGAGGGAGAAGTGTTGAGGGAGCAGGATGGACTGGGAGAACCGGGAGGAGATCTGAGACTTCCTCTCATGTTTGATGCTTTCATATGTGGGTCGGATTTATAAATAGAGCTGTTGTTAATATGAGGCATGGAGCTATGTGGAGTTAACATTTGTCACAAGATACTTTCATCTCAAAAGATTTGTGTTTCATTTGTTTTCGGGCATGTTAGCTCACAGGGGGATTAAACTGGTGATCCTCGCTCTGTTTTTTATCCTCATATTCTCTCACACATCTTAGTTGGTTTGTGAGTTTTTAACATCGTCCCAACACTATGCAGGGCTCGACAGTGCGACCGTTTCACTCGCATTTACGACTAAAAATAGATGTGTGCGAATTGTAAACTGTATTTAGGGGCACATGTGTGCATAAAAAAGTTAGTTTTAGTTTGGATATTCGACGGACATTCACCGCGGATCTACCACTCTCTATAAACGGGAATAGCAGCAGCAGTGCTGATAAATCTACTCGGCACCCTCGCTGTCAATGTCAGGTATTTAATGAGGGACCATCAATAAATTATTGATGTTCCCTTTGATATTTCTGTGATGTTTTATAACCATACAATTTAAATTTTTATCTCTTTTATGGACTTTTTCAGTTTTCAGCGACTTTCATATTTTCTTAACGTATGTTCCTAAACGTCTTGTGTATTTTAAGATCTACAAAACCTGAATCCCAGCACTTACTTGTATTCTTTATTTATTTATTTTTTATTATTTTTGTTATAGCTCCAGAAATTGTTATTTAAGCACAGTAATAGGAATATCCAGCAGTAGATGAGGTTTTGAGGGACAGGGGGTGTTTGTGATGTGTTAACTTTGAATAATCTTTGATATAATCTGCATAAAAATATTGTTGAATAAATTATTGATGTTTCCCAAAAAAGACTGTTTTCCTTCAATAGTTTTCAGTCGTGTGACCAATTGACCTAAATTGATTTCAAATAATAGTACTCATGTTGATGAATAAGACAAACTTTATTTGATCGATTTTTCGTTGTGCCCCTAAAGTTCTTTGTGTGCTCCTTACTTTGTTAACTTAGGAGCACATGCAGCGGGTGGGTGTCAAGCCCTGCTATGGGGTGACCTGTGGGGTACCACAAGGATCAATTTTAGGACCATTACTTTTCATGAGTTGTATAATCAAAAGACATAGCATCTCTCTTTTCACAGTTACGCTGATGATGCTCAGCTCTACATAGCCATGTCTCTTAGTTTATGTAATGTAAGTGCATGAAGGCACAGCTATCGGCTAAGCTCTTTGAATTTCAGTAATTTGAGCCCACTCTTTGTGCTTTTCATCGGGTGTTTAAACTTTAATAAAAAGATAGAATACCTGAAAGATTAAACTTTTGATCTTCCTTGCAGCGCTACATAAATAAATGCATCGAAAATCCTGCTAATATAACTCTGAAATGAATCGTAGAAGTAAACAGACGAAACGCTACATACAGTAGATATCAGAGAGTTAAACACTTGAGTACCATACTGATGGATAGAAACATGCCTCTGTACTTCTGAAGTCCTAAATCCTTTAAAATATGCTTCATTGTCAGACTGCAAACAGTGCAATCGAAAGCCTTTTTCCTCCCCCTTGTTGGAGAAAAGCTTCCATCCATCATCCCACTCTTTCCAAAGCTTTCAACTGGCATGTGTTTGCATTAGTGGCCTGTGAAATCTCTCATTTCCTCCTTTCTCCCCCACAATTGCCATTTACAGTTTGCCAGCAACTGCATGGAAAGCGAGTATAGTCAGTCGAGCACGGTTCGAAACTCTTATTTTGTCTTGTGGATTTATGACAAAAGTTAACCTCAGCTGCATGTCTACTCTATATTCAACAGATATTTTACAGGTAGTCTTCTAAATAAATGGAACAGTTATGGAGTCTGGGGGGCCGACATGCTGCCAAACCTCACAAATGATAGATGGCCTCAGCACAACAAGGATGCATGGGCTTTCCATTGCCGCCAGAACATGTCCAGCTGAATGCATTACCAAACCTTCTGCTGGAATCACTTGAATCCCAACCAAGGTCCGCAGACAGATTAACATATAAATGAAAGTACAGGCAAGATCCTGCCCTTCATTTCCCATCTGTTTACGCCAATGATGTGCAGTCTGAGAGGTTTGGAAGAGGCGACAGGAGGTATTTCATGAATGGATGTCAGGCCTCTCTGTCTTTGATCGGGGGGAACATTGACCTGAAATTGAAGGATGCTTCATATGAAATACCTGGAAGTGTTTTTGCCTGCAAGACGGGCCACTTGTGAATGTTTTAAACTTTAATGTAGGGATGGGAAGATTAAGGAGTATTTATTGATGCGAGGGCATGCATGACACGGGCGCATGCCTAAAAATCCAGTCAATACAACATTCGATCTTCTTCACATTTATTTAGAAATGTGGCTGACCTAATAATGTGATACTCTCTTGTTCTATTTTTATTTCCTCCAGCCCATGTTCTGTTATTGTGCACTGCGGATGTACACTATTGTGTTGGAGAACGGTGTAGGAGTTGCACAAAATAAGCACGGTCGAGGCTTTCAAATCAAAGGGTTGGCCACTCTACAGCTTTTACAAGAGAAGTAGGCAGCCTGACAAGTTGGATGCAATTTTTGAAAATGTGCCGGTATACCTTAAAGCTCCTGTTTTATTGTAAATATTCAATGTGTAAATAAAACAGGCCTGTTCTTTTAGCTGCTTGGCTGATACCCACCCCCCTGACTCTAATATCTTGTTGGAGTGAGCTGTGTCATAATCAGGTTGATAGTATTGAAGCTCAGTGTGATGATTGGAGTGTTAGTTGCATCATTTCATTGCATTGTGCTGAATCAGATTATGCTGAATCGCGCCGCATTATGGATGGGTAGAGCGTCCACTCCCACTGTGTTGATTCAGTACTTGGCAAAGTTTAATGCATCATGACTGGGATGTGAATTACATCTCATTAAATTGCACTCTGGTGAATTGGATTATGCTTAATTGTGCTGCATTATGATGAGGGTGTGAATTTCATTGCGTCAGATTGCATCAAGTCAGATCAGGTTATGTTGAGTTGCAGTGCATCGTCATGAGGGTGTAAATCACATCATGCAACATCAAACCCCATTGTGCTGAATCAGATTATTAAATTGCACTGCATCATGATTGTTGCATTGCATGGATAGTAGCTGCATGTGTTGTCTTAAAGGGATATTCCGGCGTAAAATTAGTTCAGGGTCAAACACACCGTAACACCGAGTTAGACACCCCCTCGAGTTTCTTTAGCAAAGAGACCAAACACAACTCACCCACTCTCCTCCAGCAGCTGCTTGTTGAGTGCAGCGGATCATTTCCTTTAAGTAAAAATCATCATGATAATCATTTTGCACTGCAGACGCGGTAGTTCTTCTGCCTTAGCACCTCGGTTTGATTGCATATCCATGAAGTAATGATCATAAATGTTCTTCCTTGAGCTGCGAAACTCCGCTGCACTTGGTGATCGACTTGTCAGGGCTCGGTGCACTTGTATTTACTGTTAATGTAGTTAGGTGCTGTTCTGAGCATTATTTGTGGCTATAGAGTGGCGTTTTAGTTCAGGTTTGTTTATGGCTCCTCAGACCGCGGTGTATTGCTATCGTGCGGTCGTTACCGAAGTTGGTATAACTAGAGAAGCAAGCAGTCGGCAATATTAATCTCTTGAGGGGGTGTATAACTCGGTGTTACCGTGTGTTTGATTTTATACCAGAATATCCCTTTAATGCACTGGAGTCTTGTCATTGTATCACGATGCATACTGATCAGCCCCCCCACACCACAGAAGCTCAACTCTACTGCAGTGCAAGCCGACGACAGGGAAGACAACACTTCCCCTGTTTTTATTTCTGATTGTAAAAGTCAATAAAAAGAATAAGTGAGTTAATTTTTTTAAAAGACCGTTGAGCTTTTGCTCAAGAGAGAAACAAGCCGTTAATTAATACGCTGCAAACTTTATGAAATAGCTTCAGGATTAATTCTCCAATAAACTCTGCGAGCCGCAGATGTTGGCGGTGTCCAATTTATTAAACTGAGTTTAGGCATTCCAGTTATTATTCAACTCAGGGAGATGAATGAGCGTCTCTGAAAAAGCCCCTCATGTATAAGTAATTTAATCAGTTGTTGAATACTAAAATCTTTATATCTTCTTTGTGTGGGAAAAAAAAGTGACTTTTCTTCAAGCAAAGAGAAAAGATTTCACCTCGGAGGTTCATAATAACTATTTGGAGAAAAAATGAAGGTATGGCTTCACAATCAGAGAAATGAAAGGTTTCGATGGAGACTCTTTGCAGAGCAAATAAACTCTGATTAGTTTCTCCAACACCCACACACTTTAATTCCTCCACCAAATATCACTCTCTAGCTGCAGCTTTTCAAAGCCTCGCTAAAGCCTGTGTTTGTTGTAGCCTTCAAACACACAGTCCAGTAAACAACCAGCGTGTCCAACTAAATCTCTGTATAATTGCAAGTTTCACTAAAAGAGCTGCTGCTATTTTTAGCTGCACACTTGTGTAAGTAAACATTGTTTACAAGCACAACAGTGTCATGTTTGGTGTTTGGTAAAATTGAGGGTGTTTGACTTTTTGTAATGTAGCTCAGAATGAGGAACACAGTATTCACCCTAAGTGTTAAAAACATACATCTGTCTGTCTGGGCTGCCTTGCTGAGTGGTGCAGAAACGCTATTTTAACTTTACAGGCTTAGAAACAGCAGGCAGAAAAAAGAGACATTATCTTTGTTTAGTTAAAGGCAGAGAAAACCGGTTAGAGAGTCTGAAATTTGAAGTGTCTGGACAGGTTATTTTTAGCGGTTAGAAATGTCAGCTGATAGTGAAGATAAGAAAAAAAATTGAAGTTTCTGTTGCTCTGTTTTTGTTTCTGCAAGAGCTGCAATAAGTTGAAGTGCACTTAGAGCGGTTGGTTGTGCATTGATGTGAAGAGACTGAAAGGTTTAAGTGTCTCCTGATGTGTAAAAGAGCAAGGCAGTAAAAATCAGTTAAACTGTCAGTTCTTGTGTTGCTGTTAAGAGAAGCTGAACCAACAGTTTAACGTCAGCTGGAGTGTCAGTTAATGTCCAAACCATGAGAGCAGTTAAGATGCCAGTTGATAAGTGAGCCCTAAAGCAGCACTCTGTTTTCACCTGTGTAATAACCTTTGGTTTTGTTTACTGCAGAATAATAGAGGCAACGACTGACAGTCATACTTAACAATTATTTGCAAAAGTATCAGGGAGTTTGTTGACGTGGAATGACACTTGATAGCTGAAAAAACACATTTCACAAACTTTTCCTTTTACCAGCCGTCAGTTCAGACTTTTTGAAGTTTCCAAAGTATCTCCACTGCCAAAAAGTTAATCCAATATTCCCCTTTGTGCCTCCACAAATTTTGACAAGACAGTAATGAAAACCATCCATACAGCAGTATAAACATGTTTGTTGTTGCCTGATTTATGCCAATCCAAGCATTTTTGATTAACATCTGTCCACTCTTTGTCTTATCGTGTTCATCCAAAGTTGCATTAGACTCTTTGGGCCCACCACATCACTGTATTGCACCATTGTCTTTTACAATCTTGTATTTAAAAGTTAAATCTTTAAAGTTTCATGTAGCGTTGGTTCTCTTGATGTAATATTCATGTCTGACATTTACCAAAGTAAAATTCCTTGCATGTGCTCATGAACCCGAAGACTAAAGCTGATTCTTGTTCTTTTCTGACAACCAACAACACTTTCTGAAGACACTCCTGTGTACCTTTCCTAGTGATTCGTCTTTCCCTTCGGTTTTGCTGTGAAGCTGGTCCCAAAAGGGCCCGTTTCAGATGGCAGAAAAAACATCCAAAGTGGATCTTGTGCTCTGGATGTGAAATTGAAATGATTGAGAGTAATATTATGTTTTTATCATCCATGATAGTGAGAAATCAAATCTGAAAAAAATCTGTATGCACAAGTTTGGAAACTTCAAATGACTGAAAAAAATCAAGAGACAGGCTTGCTGTTTTTGCTCGGCAGACTCTCATTTTAAAGACCCACTTCATGAAAATCATGTTTTTCTTGTTTTTTACATGTTCATATGGCTTTTTTTATGCTACAGGACATATCTCGAGAAAATTAAGTATGAAATTTCTGAGTATTTCTGCATTCAAATCGTGGGGAATCTCTGGCAGACCCAAACAGCAGGTTCAGATATAGTAAGATTTCCTATGTCACAAATCCAAGCTCCGCCCCCGGAGCCCCGCTATGCAGTGTGTGCGTTAGCAGACTGCAGTGCTCGTAAGCTCATGCCACTCGAGACATTAGTGTCCAAGAGCAGGATAGCTCCAATGTTACCTGCCACTTTTACTACACCGGCAATGTTACGGCTAAAACCCACAGGATCCGGAATGGCTCTGCTGTGCTTGAAACACGCAAGATCTCGTGAGATCTCGTCCAGTCTCGCAAGAAATATCGGTAATCTCGCAAGCACTTCTCCTCCGATGGCGGAGGCGGATCGGAGCTGGCGGGTACTGTATGCTTGTGCATTTGATCAGCCTGCTCGTCCGGAGCAGAGCCGTTCCTGATCCAGTGGGATTCACGGGTTATGCAGCCGCAAGCTAGCATGAAGAGTCGTGTGCAGAGCAGCGCTGTCTCCACCCACAACTCAGAGGCAAATCGCTAATGAGCTACTGGAGCTCTGAGGAAGAAAAGTGCTTGAAAATGACATAGGTAACGTGATTTTGGCCAAAAACTTAATAATCACAATTTATAGACCCCTGATAACACTTTAAGTAGTAAAAAAAAAACGACTGGAGTGTGACTTGAAGCGTAGAAAACAATCATACTGAGTTGCCATCATGCGTGCATAGTCTTGACTTGTGTAGTTTTGCAAAGTTCTTCAAACTTCCATGGTTGCTTTGGCCTTGTATCCGTCATACTTAACATTTGAGCGAACTAGACAGCATCAGAACAGGACACTGTGAAAGTAGACAGGCTGATGTTAGTAAATTACTCATAGAGGAAATGAATGGGTCCCCACGGTCTCAGACACTCAGTTCAAAGGCCAGTAACTGCAAAGGAAGGAAAGAGGATATCAGTATTCTTCCAAAATCTGGTGTAATTTGCCAAAAAGCTCCAATAACATCTCCAGACAGTGGTAATTACCGATGAACGCCCGGCTCATGATAAAAAGGATGAAAAGAAAACACTGTGACAATTTCCCTTCTTGTTTCAGCAACTTAGGAGAAGTAGCACAGAGCAGGGTGACTAAGCTGAACCCAGTGAGTCATCACAGGGAGGTAAGGGGCTGCAGAAGGCCCACAGCGAGCAGACCACCCACTCATGTCCCCCATTAAGACGGCTTGCTCTTCCTGCACATCAACACCCCTGCAGCAATTTACTGCCCAGCCTGAACCGAGGCTGAATGAATGGTGGACGACAGAGAACTCTTAATGAGACATGGGTCAATGAAATGTCAAAACTGGACGATGAATAGAGGAGAAAAAGCCTTAAATTGAAATTGTCACTCCAGTCTTCACACCTTTAGAGGGGCTGTGAGCTCATTTTTGCCCTCGAGGAATGTATATAATTTAACTCTTTCACCCCACCAACATATCTTTTTGCACTAATTGTTCAAACTTTGCCAGTATCATCTATTTCTAAACGGACATATCCGTCCACAGTGTCAGTGTCAACAGTAAAGGACTCCATTGGCTGAAAATCCATTTTGCATACACTTTTACTTTTCAATCTGGCACTCATACACTTGCTATCCCACCGCCTTGGTGCTTCCTTTGTCACTGCTTCATGAGGGTGGTTAGCCATCAGGTTAGCCTGCAAATTTTCAGATGTCTTTGTGTCGATGAGAGCGACCTCTGTTGAATCATACATAAAGCTATACAGTATTATTGTAGGTTCTAACAGCTTTAATAATAAGTCAGAATGAGTTCGAATGATGGTTCGAATTTCAGATAAAAAGTGACCGCTCTAACGTGTTGTGTTAGACAATAGCAAATATAGAACAAGCTATTGTGTGTGTTGAAAATTACCTCCTCATTGGCAATAATATTTGCAGCTCAGTGGCCTAAAGGTCTGCCACAAGGCTCAGTCTTAGAACCTCTACTGTACATCTCTATGCAGACGACACCATTATTAAAACCAAGGCTATGCTGTTTCTATCTAGAATGAGAAAGTGCAGAATGTACTTGTACTGAGTTGGTGACTCATGTCAGACATAAAAACTGTTTCTCCTTCTGAGGCTAGAAAACAACCTGACAGCCACCTTCTTGACACACGTCATTGCACTGTGTACCCCTAGGTCAGTTGGTCATCACCGTCCACGCACAGACTTTTGCACTCATGTACAAATCTTTTCTTGGACGTCTGCCGATGCATTTATCCTTGTGCAGGTCAAACAGCAGTGTAGCCATAGCCTACGCTGCCAAGACTTCATGACTTTCACTGTCCGTACAGAACTTGGCAAAGGGACATTTTCTGTTTCTGTCCCAACAACCGGACTTTATGTACCCTGTGTTCACAGCAATCTTCATTTTCAGATTGCAGAGTCCTTTGAATGGATTCTAACCTCATCCATGCTCCAACAGACTCGAAGAAGCTGGTTTTTCTGAAGTGTAGTTTTATTCATCCCAATTAGTGCTACCACATTATACCAGTATTGACGATAACTGTCTTTTCTCTGTTAATGACATCCCTAGTCGCAATATTAAGTTGCTTTAGTCATCTGATGATTGATTTCCTTTTTCCTTCCTTCAACTGATAAGTTTCAGTTTCTTAATTATGTCACCTGGTAAATACCTTCATACAATTTCTTAAGTCTCCTGGCCTCTCAAAGTAAAAGTACCTCCTACTTTCAACTGGGTCTCATTTGTACATATTTGTACACTGTTGGTTCCATCACTCGGGGGTTCAGTGTCTTATCCAAGGACACTTTGATATGTGAGCTGCATGAGCTAGGGTTGGGCCACCAACCTTCCAGCTTGGATACAGATGGTACAGTCGTATGTTAACGTTAAATCAATAGCATTCAAGTCTAAAAACCTTACTGGAAGGGCGTAATTACTCACATAGGAGTCGTGTTGATCATCAATTTGCTCTCATAGCTCTCAAAAAACAGTGCAACTTTTGAAATGGCATCATGTTAAAATAAAACCGCTTGATCATTGACCAATCAGAAGTGAGAATTCAGAAAACATCTTAATTAACAATATTGGCGAAAGTCCATATGGAAAAGAAGACAACCGCAGTTGTTTTTTCATGGTGCAATTTCCTGGTTTATAGCTGCTGCTAATTGTGTGACAAAATTTCTATCAACTTTTAAATAAAGTTTTCTTTGTAAAATTGAAGCAGATGTTAAACTTTCATCACTTTGCAGAAGTGAACTCCAGGGAAATTGAAGGTATGGGCGCAAATATCGCCCCAGTGGACACAGCCCCCAAATGAGGATAAAGGAGGCACCTTCGGTTGTGTACTTCTGTTGTTTCCATAAGCCTGTATGAAAAAGTTAACCAATCTGCAATAACTTCACAACAGTTTTCATCAGTCACAATTTGTATGCAGGCACCATACTTGTAATAACTTTTATTTCATGGCTGGAGAATTGAAAATAGAGGAACAGATGCACTCTGCGTTGGCCTTTAATCTCCAGAATACTAATAAACAAGAAGAACTACCTGAAGCCTGTAATCAGATTGCAGATTGCAGTCAGACAGGACTTTAAATAGGCTTATATGCTGCACTGAGAAAATCAGAGGGTTGTTAAAACAAGGACTTAAACTGTGATCAATATGAAATGTGTAAAAGTGTGCTTTAAGTGTTTTAATGAAGGTTTGATTGTAATTTTACTCCCTGCAATGGTTGTAGAGCCCTTTTAATGAATGGGTTGTTAATGAAAATGTTTTATATACAACTTTAACTTAACTCAGACTTGATATAGTGATGGACTCTGGAGGTAGGAGATTATTTTGGTCAGGTGTAAACCTCTGCAAAGGACTTTCCAGCAGAGTAGGAAATCCTCCAATAACCACAGCAGGCGGGATGGTTTCAGAGCAACATGGAGCCCAGCATGAGTCTGAGGTAACTACAAACAACAAAAGTAACACCAAACTCAACCGAAAAGCAGAATTTGCTGGGGAAAGAACAGGGTGAGCTCTTTGTTTAGTCGTGAGCATACAAGTGAAACATTACTGAGCTGCTAGACCGCTAAGTCCAAAGGATTGTGCACAGAATTAAAGCACCGCTGAGATAAGCAGACAGGTGCAAACAGTTGTACATCTTACTGTCGTGTTTCAAGTGTACCGGGCCCATGTGGATCAAAATGTGCACATGCTATTGCATTACCTTGAAATTACTGGACACTGGTGCACGATCAAAAAAAAGGAAATCATTGACACCAATCGGACATTTTGTAATTGCACTTCTGCCAAAGTCGTAGTGAGTAACTGTGTTACCTTTATATCAACAAAAGAAAACCAAAAAATAAACAAAAAGCAGAATAGTCATAATTTTACAGAATAGTCACTTAGAAGCTGTCCTGCACCTCCAGGTTGTTGTTTCAGACTAGTCAGGTGTAAAAATCCAGCATTGATTTAAATAACAAATCTCGAAATGCTGATCATAAAATACATTTAATTGCAATTATTTGATCCCCAAATTACGAAACTGGTAAGCTTTGTTTAAAGTTGTTAACATGGACTTCAAAACTGTTTAAAAATGGGGTTAAGAATTAAAACAAGTTATTAAAAGTGCAATTAATCGGGATTGACGACTGCGATTGATCGCGATTCTAAAATTAATCATTTTACAGTCTTACTGAAAACATCTCTTTAGTTGACATGGATAAACTTGATTGTTAGCCGGCTAGTAGTCCAGAACTTATCCCAATATGGCAGCTTAGTTAACGATAACTTAAAGGGTTTGAAGTGGTTCGCTTGGCGGGTAAATTAAATAAACTCATTATGAAGGTGTATTTTTTTGTGAACATGAAATGAGTTATTCTGCTTCATTATTGTTCAATAATCACTTAGATTGCGCCGTGTACCAAACCTTACATACTCATCAAATGTTGCTGTTCTTGCACATTTATATTCATCTTCTTCACTGTGGTTATTAATGGACAGGGCTTTCGAATTGAGTCCTGCAGCGCAACAACATTCCCTCCTGACCCCCGGGATTTAATAATCTCTAACTAATCAATATCCTTTCAGCAACTGTCCAAATGTGTTGCACAGGTCTCCTTTGGTACCATCCCCCTCTGGTCCTACACATACACAGATTTGACAGGCTGTAGACAAACGACGAGCTCAGGGAATCACTACTGGATTGAATGGAGAATAATTCACCCCTTGTGCCCGGTGTAAACCATGAACCGGCCCTCAGGAAGGAAAGGTCTTGGATTTATTGAAAACTGACTTCGCTGATGACCTCCCAAGCCTTTTCTCACTGAACGACTCGAACTGTTCAATGCTGTGATCGTAGAATAAAAGGTCAGTACAGAGGACACCTGTACATCCAGATTCATATAGCAGTGTGACACCAAGTTCAGGAGGGAGAAAGATGGAGTTTGTGTTACGGTAACATCCTCTCAACTGCAAAGCAATGGTAGCATTATATAGTACGAAGCCTGCATTACACCACAGTGGTCTCATTTTTCTCAGAATTCAAAATTACCTCAATTTGTGTCATTAAAACCAAAAATATAAGGCATCTGCACGAATAAGATGCAATGATAAGTATATATGCTGTATACAATGTGAATGTAAACACCATATCCCATTACAATTTGAACCACAATGTTCATTACAAGGAAAAAAAAGGTTTCCTTAAAAAGCTATTTCAAGAGAAACAACCTACTTGTCTGAGTTTGAAAGATTAAATCTGAATTGTGCTGTTTTTCCTCCAAGAATAGAAACTTTTGAGGTTTAAGCCACTAACAGATATTTCCAGTAAAGACCAAAAAACCACCAACAATCTACCGGCAAGCACCTCATGAGCTCCACACTCCTGTAAATAAAAAAAGCCCCAGTGTTGTACAAACACTATTAAAAATACAACAGTATTGAGGTGTTGCACTAAGTTTAATTTCCCTTATAACCAAGAACACAACTTCAGTAGATTATCTCCATCAATCAGACCCACATACACAGTCCTGCTGCAGCTGTACATGTGTACCGAACCTCAGCTTTAGTCACTGTGAGCTACACAGACTCGGTGACGGAGTAAAATTATATGTAGATTTACATCATCAAATATCGCCATCGGGGCCAGTAAGACAGATTTGTGAAAGTCTTTGTTTTTCTAGCTCTCTTGATCTCCTGGGTGTACGCCGAATGTTTGAGATCACCACCTGAGCTTTTTAATTAAAGACCACTTACATGTTGATTTGAAGTGCATTAAATTGATTTTGCAGATTAGTGCAGCATCATTTGGGCTGATGGAGATACACTCCACTCTCCGCTACTACCAACGCAGCGGTGGCAGTCGTCCCTCAGCCTTGACCACTTTTAATGGGATGGCAGTGTGCTGTTTGTTGTCCAGCGTCACCGCTTGATGGGACCTATTTTCCCTCCTGGCCTTGCAAATTGAATTTCCCTGAGGACAATAACAGATATTGCGTCTTGTATCTGATGAGCACGCAGGCTGAGTCTGAGAGGAGGAAGTGATCTGTGCGCTCCACTGATCATTGATTTCTCTTCTGCTGAGTCTTTCCCTGAGAGGAGCACTGCTTTTCTGTTTTTGTGCGGGGTGATTGTCGCCATCATTTAGCCGACCACAGTGAAATAATCAATGATTGAGCGTTGCAATGTCAATACCTTGTGTCAAAACATATGGATGAAGGATTTCCAGAGCGGCGTTTAGCATTTAGAGCTCTTTATTGGTCTTTAAAGCTTTTATTGCTTTATCTTTATTTTTATGCTCCTGCAAACATCCGCCTTGTTTTTATGCTGTTATCTCAGTTTAATTCCCTGCAAAATCAGGCTGCAACAGTCTGTGCAGACACGCAACGGCGAACACATCTATAAATATCAGCATGGTCTGATAGAGTGACCGTGTATCAGTGTTTTTATATCGAGTCACTCTGAAATGAAAATGTCAGCTTATCACTGAGATGTAAATGGGCTGAAAGTGTGTCAGTGTGACTCAGTTAACTGATCCCAGGTTAGCTGAAAAAGTGTAAACATGATTCCATTAAAAGGACAGGTATGGCTGCAGATGTAGACGTTTATTTTTGCAGGATCGATCAGAAACATGCCCTCATATTTACTTTAGCAAAAGTCAAACATAACCGCATCAGAGCAACCAAACAGTATGCTAATGGCAGCATCCGAATGATGACTTTGGCTGTGACTGAGCGTCTGGGCGTGCCATGTTCATTAATCTCTCCCCTCTCCTCCTGTCTGTCTGATCATCACCCCTCGTTAAAGTCAGGGATGTGGATGAGGGGGTTCAGGATGGGGGTGGGGTCCACAGGTGCAGCCAAACAGAGGCCCTGCCATGGTTAATGGCGTCCTCTGATCAATTATGGTCCGGCTGAGGCGCAGCGTCTATACATATTTCATGACTACCGGTGGAGGCCAGGCTGGCTGCCTAAACCTCTCAACCCTCAGCCGACACACACACACACACACACACACACACACACACACACACACACACACACACACACCCTCTCCTGAATCCACCAGCACTCCCCTCCCCCTCCCTTTCTTCCTTCGCGTGCCCCAAGGCCCAGATGAAAGGCAGGCTTGACTTGTTAGCACCCTGTGTCAGTGAGCTCCGGACAGGAAGATGGGGTGCCACAGCGGGGGAGTCTGGTCAGCCTCACCTCAAGCTGTGTGAAGCTCCTGGTTCACATTTGTCTTTGTCTGCCAGCACACACCCTGTCTGCTGTGGGTGTCTGCTGTGGGTGTGCATATTTAGAGGAAATACAGGCACATAGGAAGGCTCTGATTGGTTGAATCCTGACATGGAGAGGCGAGGTTGTGAAGATGAACAAGAACAGTCTGGGTCTTTTTCTTTCTCTGGAATATTCAGAATAAAATTCACGTTTAGAAAAAAAAACTGTCCATCCATCCAAGTCACAAAATCTACCTACATACCCATCAACATCTGTCATATTTTTTCATCCACCTACTCATCCATCAGGCCCATCAATTTACTTACTCATCCATCCATCAACCCTTCCTTTTTCATCCATTCATTCATCTAACTTTCTTTTGTTATTAATCTAACCACAATCCATCTTTTTATCCATCCATCTATCCATCCATCCATCCATCCATTCATTAATCCTTCCTTTTTCACCCATCCATACATTCATTTAACTTTCTTTTGTCATTAATACATCCACCCATTCATCTTTTTGTTTTATCCATCCATCCTTCCACCCATTCTTTTTCCTCCATCCATCCTTCCATCCATCCATCTCTCCTTCTACCATCCATCCATCATCCATCCATCCATCCATCCATCCATCCATCCATCCACCCATCCATCCATCATTTATCCTTTTTCATCCATCCACCCCTCTTTTTTAATCCTTCCTTTTCAATCCATCCATCCATCCATCACTTCTTTTTTATTCTTCCTTTTTTATTCACCCATCTGCCTATCCATCCATCCATCCATCCATCCATCCACCCATCCATCCATCATTTATCCTTTTTCATCCATCCACCCCTCTTTTTTAATCCTTCCTTTTCAATCCATCCATCCATCCATCACTTCTTTTTTATTCTTCCTTTTTTATTCACCCATCTGCCTATCCATCCTTCCTTATTTTTCCATCCATCCATCCATCTATGAATCCTCCCTTCTTCATTCATTCTTCCATCTTTCAGTCAGTCTACTTCTGTATCACACGTTTGTTTTCACTCGTTCGTGCATTTGTTCAGTTCTTCCTTCATCTTCATCTTCGTCTTTTTGACCATCTATAACCTGATCATTTACAGTCTTGTATCAGCGCCTTTATTTCTAGTTATCCATTAACTAAACTGCTGTATCATCTACATCTTCAGGATCTTTATTTCCATTTTCATCGATGCAGTTTTCTGTCTCTTCACTTATCCATGACTCCGTTTATCCGTCCATACGGCCTTTTGAAAATCCATCCTGTCACGTCAATCCATCTGTTCTCTTACTTTTTCAATCAGCCTATCCGTTCCCGTACCCCTTGATCCATACGATTTGTTATCTGCTTTTCCATCTCTGTATCATTTTGTCACTTAATCTCCATCTCAGTTAATTCATTAATTCAAACACCCGACCTTTTAGCCTTTCCTTTCCTAAAATTCATCCTTTTGTTAATCCTTCTGTCGATCCATTTTTAATCCATCAATTGTTCATCAATCAACATTTGTATCCGCCTTACCATATTTCTGCTGGAAACTACCACCATCATTTTCAGGCATTTTTTACGTCTTTTTATTCCGTCTTTTTCTACACAATAGAGTATTTTTGCGTCTTCTCCTTTGACATTATGATACGGTGAACTGCTGCCCAGCATCCTCTTTCTATCTCTTCATCATCCTTCTGATTATGTCCACGTTTATCCAGCTGAACCCTCTCGTGTAATCAAACAGCATCACTGTGGTTTGAAGCCATTTTGGTTGAAGGGTGCAAGGGCCCTGCAATTATGGTGGCGCATGGGGGGTGGGGAGAGAGGAGTGGGTGCTGGAGGCAGTTGGCTGGGAGCCGGCTGGTACTGCTTTGTAGTCTGCTTCCAACCGGCCGCTCAGTACTCCAAAGACAGCAGAAAATATACTCTGTAAACTGAACCTGTTTTCTCGGTGGGTCTTAAAAATGTGCATTTATACAGTATTGTCTACAGTTTCTCTCATAGGTAAGAAACTCTTGGGTTTACAGCTATAACGTCTGCATTTATGAATATATTAGATTTATAGTCTGGTGGTAGTAAATCAAACTGCAGTTTAAAAACCTTCCTGCCAAATGTTTAGTACTCTGCACAGACGACTAAATAAAATCACACATGGCAGCAGGAATAAAGACACACTGGATATGTCATTACCAGAGAAAGGCCTGCTGCTGATGTTATTTGAAGTGCCTTGAAGCATGCACTTGCAGCACGGCTCTTTATCTTGCCGGAGATTTTCGGCTGGTTCCCTCACAAAAGGATCTCTTACTTTAAGACGCTTAACTGAGAGTGTGTCCTGATCAAACAGATCAAAGTTTTCTCTCTACCTGCAAAGAGGCGGCTGAAAGCTTCCCCGAGTCTTCCTCCTGGTTTTGATAAAAAAGTTAAAAAGAAGAGTTCAATGATATTTGGGTTTAAATTTGAGCATTTAGGGATGGAGAGAGGACGGAGGGATGATTGGACTTCTGTTTCATGGTATTACTTTTCCAAACCGCTCAAAAGAATCAGAGAAAGTGAGTCAGAGAAACCTTGATTGTTCAGAAGTAAGTTTTGGACAGTGATTGGTCTTGACCAGCAGGGATTAGTGGAACAAGCTGGGACGAATGTATTAAGTTGCCTCCTCCACATCGTCAGCAGGGAGGGAGCAACTTAACTCATGCAGCGCCACTGACGGATTTGGACGGATTTTTCGGTTGTTCTTGTCTTCCGCCAGGGGGCGCTCCTCCCCAACATGCGACTAAGTTTGGGGCCATTCTGAACGCAGAAAAGCCGACAAATAAGACATGACCATGTTACAAAAACAAGTACTCGCCAGTGGAGTGTTTTTTCTCTGTGAGGAGAGTAGGAAAAGGCCGAAGTCATTAGCCAAGAGCAAACGGTCTCGGCGCACTGGCTCCCATAGGCGCGGTGCTACCGTCTCTGGGTCCAGTGGCGATCCCTGTACCAGACTTTCGTCATCGCCAGCAGACAATCAAAGAAACATATTTTTGGTGTGTCGTGCCGCCGATGCTGGTACTGGTGAGCGAGACTAAGCCAGAATTCAGCGAGGAGGACGCAAGCAGTCCGTGTGGTTTACGTCGTGTGTCAGGTTCCCAAGAGCCAATACCACTCCCAGCCGTCAAAAAGTGACCTATCACAACCGGATCTCGAGAGTGATGAGGAGTGGTGTCTGAGGAGGGAGGACCTTAATGCCACCGGTAAATTAGTTTGAAGTGAAATGAAATAAATGATCAGAGTTTTTTAAAAACACATTTTGAACTTGAAAATTGAACGTGTATGTTGCTGCTGTGTTTTATTACTTTTAAACAAACTAATATCAATAGAAAATATTGTTTAATTTAAACTTACTTAATACTAATGTATATCATATTGTTCAATAAAGATTTTTCAATTGATTCAGCCGCCAATTTTATGACTGTAGAATTTTTAATTTGCTGTTGTTGACTCACCTGGAACTTGTGAAAACTGGTTTGTGCCCATCCCTGCAAGAACCTTCATCATCTAGAAACCTGTCCCTTTAAGACTTTAAGCTTTATAAATGGCTGCTAAATATTGTCTACATGAAACAGTTTGTGAGAATGAGAGAGTCATTACAGTCGTACCATCAGCCGTGAAACTGAAACACTGAGTTGAGAAGTCAGAAAAACGCTGAATAGAGCAGGAGAGGGTCGATTGAGTCATTTCCTCCATTTTTATTCTAAAAATATCGCTGAGTGTAGCTTTAACTGCTCTCATACAGTGAAAAAAAAAACACCCTCGGAGAGATTTTCAGTTTTGCCTGTTAGGTCTGAGGTTATTTTTTGGCAGCTGATCAAGAGTTAATCAGCATTATAGTGTTGAATAATAGATAGGTGTTAATGTCCTTTCCCATGATGCAGTTATGAGAGTGAATACAGCGAGCCTCTTTGTTTTCACAGCTGGAGCTCTTATGGTGTGTTTACAGGGTGTTAACTGGTGGTTACAAAGCGAATGCCATCATGTTGGAGGAAGGATAATGGAGAATAAAACATTATCAGCTCCTCCCTGAAGCTCTCTTTTGTTTTGAGACTCCTGCATCCTGGTGTTATGTCCCCCGATAAACCTTGATACTCTCTAAAGTGAGTGCATATTGCTCAGGGATTGACTCACCCCCCTGTTACAAAGTCTGAGACTTTGGTGCCAATATTTCGCTTCAAAACAAGCGATCGCTGCGGCATTAGTCACTAAAAACACAGACCACAACATTCCGCTCTGGAAATGTCAAAGATTCTTCTCCACCGAGTCGTTCATATGAAATTGAACAGCAGCCTGTATTACACAATACTCCATTCACTGTCTGCACCAAGGCTAATAAATGATCAGTGTGTGGAGACATGTCGCTACATAACTCACTAGCAACAAACACAAAGAGAAGGAATGCTAATCCTGAATTTGCTGACAGGAACACTTCAGATTTTGATCAGCGGAGGATTTACAGGATGAATCATAATTTTAATAACAGGGTCTTTTATTCTATTAGTAACAACTGGTGCTATTGAGATTCCTTCCACAACTCATGGCTCATACTCAGCAGTGTCAGCTATCAGTCAAAACTACCTCCTCCTGCTAGGAACCGATCACTGGCTCGGTATATTCTTTTAAGGGGCGGTTATCAAAAGTGTAAATACAGCAAATATGTAGATGATACGCGATCAAAGGGTACAAAAGCGGATGTGTTATATGTGAACTGCATCTGCTCAACATACATATATATATATCTACATATGTATGTCCGTAGGAACCTGTGCCAAAACTTTGATCTGAACACCTTATAAAAATGCAGGACAGCTGCAGAGACTGAGCGCCGAGCTTTTCCTCCACACTCCCTACTGTGATGTTTCTGTAAAACATGCAAGGATCAGCGGCGGATTGAAACAGCTGTTATCTCGTGTTTTCTCACCTTTTACCTTCGAGTTTACGGGCCTGTTGCTCGCTTTCGCCTCTCCTTTGAGTGTATTTATCCAAAACATTTCAAAAGTGAGTTTCAAGAAAGAGTTTTAACAATAAAACAGTTGATGAATTTGAAGTTTAAGTGGATTAAAGATAGGGTAGGCAGGAATCCGTTAAAGAAGCATCTTTTTTTGTGGTGTATATACAAAAAAGCTTTTAATATCAGTAAATAGCTATAAGTCATTAATGACATTTGGAAATATAATGATATCGCTGTGTTTTGTTATGTCTGTGTAGTCAACATCTTAAATTTTTCGCGCACTTCGCTCTTTCTGACTGTAAACAAAGCCGTTCTCCGCCTCCTCCATCCTGATTGGTTGTAAGGCAAACGCTGTTCCTTAGTGCTGATTGGTTGTAAGGCAGACGCTGCTCCCCTGTGTCGTTTATGAGCCCAAACAGAGTTAGCGTGCTACAATATCAGACAGTAGAAACCAACCAGAAAGTACAGAAAATTGTATGAATCCTCCTTTAGCCACGACTGCCGACACAAGCAAGAAAACAAAGTAAATACCGGAGACTCTGGAGGAATAACAAGCGCTTAAAAAGGAGGTAGACCGGACAAGAACTAAAAAGTATTTATCTGCATTATATCTGAATTTAATTGAAATGATACAAGCGAGTGGAAGCGTCTGTTTGTGGGCGGGGCTTGCTGGAGTAGAGAGGGAGAGGAGGAGCTGAGGGGAAAGCTGGTTGGGAGGGGTAGAGTTTACATTCAAGACTTCTCCCCAAAAACTTGCACTTCCTCAGATCCTGCCGACTCCACCTTTTAGTTCATTTAGCCAGAGGGTGTACATTTGGAGCTTTTGCAATGCGATTAAATCATGAGGTTTTCTTTTTGCCTTTTTACAAACTGGACGCCCATCCACACCCCACAGTCAGGGAATCATTCGATAGCTCAGTGCAGATTCCACACCCACCTGTCAGATGTTGCGCCTGCGTCATATTTTGCATGGTGGGACTAACAAAGTGCAGTACTTTAACCGGGACAGGGTCTGTGAAGTTTGGATCTGATGTGCAGCTCTTGGCTCACCGAGGTCAGAAGTTCATCCATCAGTAATAAAGAGTTTCTACGGAGACAATTGAGTCTCTTCTCGTTTGATCTGCGGCTTTGTTTACGCCACCAGAGGAAGGCTTAATGCAGAGATTTTTCTCCCATTGAGGTTGAGGATTGTTGTTTCTTATCTGGCATCACAGAGTTAGATGGAGATAAACTAAAAAGGAACCTTGAAGTTAAGGGTTCAAATCAATTCCTTTGTTTATTGTGTCTTGCTTAATAAGTGTTTTTTCCTTTTTATACGGGTGAGACTGACGGATATGATTTCTTTGAAGAAGGAGAAACAGTGTGAATAGGTTAAACAAATCAAAACAACAGTCTAATTTGGTACAGTAGTCAGATGAAAGGCGACACAGTGTGGCATGTGATGTCAAATACTCAAACCTCTTTAGCGTCACACGCTCTGCTCGCCTCATGGCATTTCTTTCCACCGGGGAATTTAATCCAACGACATATGCAATGTAAAGATAACTGCAAAGCGAGAACGCATGTGGACACATGTACAGCTGCTCACATTCCATTTCGCACATGTGTGTGTTTGGGTGTGTGTGCGAGCTGGGGTTATTTGTTTGTTGGCAAGGATTCGAAAGTGTTTCATGGGAAAAGATCCTGATTCAGACGAAAAATAAACGTGCCAGCAGCTGTCGCGCATTTGGCGTTCTCCACGGACCAGCCGGCGCAGATGTAGAGTACACACTGTACAGCAGTTTGTGTGCGTCTTTGTGTGTTTTTCATCATTGTCAGTCGAGTAGAGAGCTGAATAGAAGTTTCATGTCCGTGTGGGGCAATTTGCTTTGTCGACAGTGGCCTCCGCAGAGAGAAACAAGATTCATACAGTGTTACTCTTAAAGTCCCAGATCACAGTGGTTGGTTTTTCTTTAAAAGGCCGTCAGCTTACAGAGTAAAAACACTTAGATCCTGTTTTTACAATCATCTATCTGACAGAATCCAAAGTGTTCAGATGGCTGGATCCACCCCCTCTTTTCTGAAGGGTCTCTAAGGGTGTACCCCAAGGTTCGGTACTGGGACCTTTTAGTTTTTCATTAACATCAGTAACCTGTGTTATAATTCGTCAAATGCTTTGTATAATTTTGATGCTGATGACACATTATTGATTTTTCACAGTCGGCTGTTAATGTTGTTCACTGTCGTCTGCAGAAACTAAAACAGGTTAAAATGCAGAAAAAGCAAAGATCATGATGAAGGACTGAAAGATTCAACAGATCTTCTGTATGTGCAGCGATCTGACTGAACGACTTCACTGTGAATAATAGATGGAATAAAACTGGAGACATGAGAATCATACTGCCCCTCAGGGATAACTCTTCTTCTTCTTCTTCTCCTTCTCCTCCTTCTCCTCCTTCCTCCTCTTCTTTTTCTTCTTCCTCTTCTTCTACTATGGTTCCAGTTCTTCTCCTTCTTCTTAATTCTTTTTTTTTCTTTTTCTCCTTTTCTTCTTCTTCTTCTTCTTCTTCTTCTTCTTCTTCTTCAGTTTCAGTGAGTTACCAGTTAATCTTGTGAACTTTATACAAACTTAATTACCTTTCCGTGTTGATCCACAGCTAATGTGGCTTTCATTCGACATAGACATCCTTCTTCTCCCTCTGACTGAGGAAACTTGATGACCTGGATGATGCTGAAGTGCTGTACACGGGGGCTTCACTTTAATGTCTCTGAATACTGTTTGTTACTGGGCCTTGAGGTTTGGTTATCACTCACTCATCACTCTGACCTCTATGTTAAGTCTTTCTGGCCATTCCTCCACTGTGAAAATCATCGACATTGAAGCTGTTGGCCTCGTTTGCTTTTGGATATCATGAAAAAAGGATTCAATATTGATTTTTGTCTATTTCATAAATGTCAAAAATTCTCTTTTCTTTATTCCTGACTGTATTATTTCTTCATAAAGACGTGAAAAATCCTCAAAGTTATAAGTAAAACAAAGGATTTCTCACAGAGACAGTTAATAATCAGAGAAAAAGTCTGTGAGACTAAAATTACCATGTATTGTTTATTTATAATCCATTAAAAAATGAACCTCTGTGGCCTCTGCCATTTTTCTAAATGTCATTCAAGAGGTCACGATTTTTAAACTCTGAGCTTTCATGAAAATCTCACTTTTAAAGTCATGAATACCCTGAAAGGAAGAAAAAAAAAAGCTGTGGACACTCTCATGAATACGATAAGCACGACCCCATTTAAAGGCACTGTGTGTTCTGGGCACACTCCTCGGAGAGCTCGGAGGACTCAATAAAAGCTAAATAATCTACAATTAAACAGAAGTACAGAGTCAAGTTTTCCACAGTAAGTCTCAATAATTACATTCGCTTAATCTAATCTGTGTGGGCCACAGCAGTCAGTAAACCCAGAAACCCCATTTAGCCTCAGCAACATGCAGTGGAACGAGGCGACCGGAGCTTCTTTCTGTAAATGTTCGAAGAATCGACGGTTTAAGCGGCAGATGGTGGACCGGGATTTTATCCTAAATTTACAAACACTTGAAACAATCAGGCTACATCTGAGAAGGAGAATAATCCCCAATTTATTCAGTGAAAGAAATTCTTCTTTGTAGGAGATGTCGTCTGATAATTAAACCCCTCTATTTTATGGCTAATGAGTTCGCAGTGGTGCTCTTTTTTCTGGGAGGTTAGGTGGTCTCCTGGGTGGCAGATTATAGTGTTTCCATTAAGCCTGCTCTCTTGGCCTCTCCTCTTTGTCTCCTCACCCTCGGACTCTCCAGGGAAGCACTCCCGAAGTTCCCGAGTGGCCTATTTGCTTGTGAGGCAGTGCGGTGTCCCCTCAGCGGCCCTTCAGCCGAAACCTGACAGCCGATTGGCTCGTGGCGTTGCATTCGAGTCCTCTTAACGTGCTTAAGTGGAGCAGCTCGGTAAAACCTCAGATACACTCCGCCTGAGCTGGAGAAGTAGACGGGGGGTGAGAGGAGGGGCGAAATGGAGAAATTAAATTCTTTGAAGTGAGATGAAGACAGATGGGGATAAAATCGAAGAGGGAAAAACAAGGAAACGGATGGAGGGAGACAAAAGAGAAGAGACACCTTTGTAATGGAGGTGCAAGCTGTGTGTTTGTGCATGCGGTGATGGATTAGAGAAAAGGGGACCTGTGCTTTTTACAGACTCCTTTTACAGACTGAGCTAAGTAGTTCAGTCATTTTATAACTCTTTTAGTATCTGAGCGAAAAATCTGATAAAGAGTCTGTGCTGATCAAGAGGGAGATCCAAAAGAGACTCAGATATTCAGATCCTAATGTTTAAAATCCTTGTGGCTTTGATTTGCTAAATTTATATCCATTTGTACTTTAAGCTCATTAACTTTTTTGTCCTTTCAGCACACTGTAGTAAAGCTCTTCCTGCCAGGGTGTTCTTTGGGTCAAATGTACTAAGAATATCAGTGAAGTATTTGACGTTTCAAGTCTACATGTGTAGTTAGTAACACAGAAAACTGCAGATCTTGGATTGTGTGCAAACAGCCGCAGACCTGTGGCTCAGAGCTAAAGGACTTCCTCAGGTTAGCGGGCTATAACTTAAGGATTTGCCGTACTGCTGCAGACTACAATAGTGTGAGGCATACAGGATGAGTGTGAAACAGAGAAGTCCTGAAGAATGCAGTTGCTGGTTCATTACCAAGGATCACTGGACCTTGTCTGTGAATAAATGTGCACCATATTTACTCTGTTTAGATATTCTGTACGTGCACTCCTGCATATATCCTATCAGTGCAATATTTTTATCCTTCAAACAATATAAACAAAACAAAAAAATTAACTTTATTTCTGAGTGAGCAAGCCGTCCCTTACCTTTAAGTCAGAGTTTCAGACCACACGATGGTATAAAAGTGTCTACCGGTAAAAATTTTACTATACCGTTTATATCCGAGATAGAAAAAGAGAGCAGGTGTCTGCTGCGTCTCTCTCAGTCAGTGTGTAGTCGTCTGCGCTCGCTAACAGGAAAGCCAGAGCGCATCCATTTGGGTGCATTTCCGTTTATTCACCAGCGTGTCATGCGGAGTTTGTTCACTCCGTTTAATTGGTCAGGTTTGGGTGCGCTCCCTATAACCACCAGTGTGTCCAGCAGACTGCTTAGCATAGTTTCGACGAAGAAGAAACAGCTTCACTGGTGGTGTGGTGGCCATGGCAGATGTGGAGATGCTTCCCTCACTCGTGAACAAGACCCTGAGATACTTGACCTCTTCCACTTGGGGCAGGATCTCATCTCCCACCAGGAGAGGGCACTCCACCTTTTCTGGCTGAGATCCATGGACTCAGATTTGGAGGTGCTGATTCTCATCCCAGCCGCTTCACACTCGGTTGCGAACCGATCCAATGAGAGCTGAAGTTCACAGCCCGATGACGCCAACAGGACCACATCATGTGCAAAATGCAGTGAGCCAATCCTGAGGTCAACGAACCCGACCTTCTCAACGACCTGGCTGCGCCTAGAAATTCTGTCCATAAAAGTTATGAACAGAATCGGTGACAAAGGGCAGCCCTGGCGGAGTCCAACCCTCACTGGAAAGTAATCCGACTTAGTACCGGCAATGCGGACCAAGCATCTTTTTTATAAATATAAAAAAAACTACTTACAGGAGCTTTAAATATCATGATTAAATTCTGAAACTCTTTGATTGATTAAGATTTGATAGCTCTGGTCAAAACTGAAAACAGTGGCTCATATGAATATGTATTGTGTATCTGTGTGAGCACACGCTTTATAAATGTGGCCACACTGTGAAATCAGCAGCCTCCCCACAGACGATGATTTATATGCTGCCATCTCAGGCATGTCATAGAGGGAGATTAGAGTCCTCCCAGGTCCGGCCATCAATACTGTGAATGGAGACTGGAGTGCCCTGCCTCCAGATAAACAGGAGGACGCCAGCCTGGAATTGATTGCCTGAGTGCCACATCTGTCATAAAGCTAACCAGAAGGTGATCGTGCAGGACAACAGGAGGGAGAGAATGAGATTTTGTTTTGCTTTGGCTTTGAGTGAAAAGATCCATACAGATCCGTATCCATCAGTCTATTCATGCATCTTCTCGGTTATTCTTCTAGTAAAGTTTCTGCCTCACCCACATGCTGCTCTAATCAGCTCCCTGCTTTTCATTCAGTGAGTTGCATATATTCACACCCAGGAGCTTTGCAGTACAATTAGTTTGTGTTCTATTGGCGAGTGAGCAGCTGCACTCGAGCAGGTGGTGGGTAAGTGCTTTTCCTCCGCGCACTCCAAGAGTGTTTTTTTTTTTTTTTTTTTTCCTCAGGACAGGAATAAATATTGACTCTCTCCATCAAGATTATTCAACTGATTCGTAGATTGAAAAACTTCAACTTCATTTAACAACAAATTTAACACATTTATAAGTAGAAATGAACTGAAAATGTGAAAACGTGTCGATCCATGTTGATGAGACATCTGCAGTAAGATTATAAAAAGGCACAACGAGTTTAAAAGTTGTTGTTTGTTTGTCATGAGAGCATTATAAATTCATTTTAAACCGTGACTTGGAACAATGGGTCGGTTGCTAGGCTGTGGACAATATTTGGCTGTTGTTTATCCGCCTCCAGCATCACACTCCTTTTGTTGTTTGAGCTCTTCAAAGACACCCGTTTTGCTCATGTCAAGACTCCACATGAGCAGCTTGAATGGTAACCAGCTCAAAAAAAACCCATCAATTCATCTTTGATTTGTCTTTTATGCAGCTCCTCATTTCGACTTCTGTGTGAAACAGGCCATTTGAGCTCTCGTCTCTCTCAGTCCGCTCTGCCAACGGTCCACTTTCCTCTGATTTGTCTGCTTTCCAAAAAGCTCAGCAAGGGGCGAAAGACAGCTGTGTTTGCAACCTCCCTGAACATCCCTCGGAGCTTGAGGGGTAGACCTCTGCAGATGGGTCACGAAATTTTCTTTCCAGACCGAGCGGGCGGTTGTACAATCTGTGTTTGCTCTTCATAAACAGCAGTGGCTGGAGAAATGTCCGACACCCTCTCACATCTTAGGACAAAGTGTCAGCAAGTCACAGAGCGCTATCAAACACCTGGCACAAGGAGTTTTAGCCTGCGGCGCAAATATCATTATTTACCGCCTGACACAGTCGTGGGTTTGAAGTGGAGCCCCCACATTGTGTAAACAACAAGAGAAATGGCACCAACCTTTGTGCCCATGAGTGTGTTTGACTTAAAATAAGGTGTGTTACTATCTACAAGAAGCAGAGAGCACCTTTAACCAACATAATAATGGTCTAACATCTTAAATCAGTGGTGCAGTACTTTGCTGATATTTACAGGGGGCAGTAGTGAGGAAATAAGAACAGGCCAAAGAGTGCAGATGCAGGTCAATCCTCCTACTCATAAAATATCTGTGTTTTTGCAGATAGAGTGAGATTCATGTTTTTAATGTGACAGAGCCTGGAGAGAGACGTCTTCTTCTTATGCATGCATACATATTAAAACTGCCATAGGTACAGGGCTTAACAAGGGATACCAGAAGATGAGGACACCATCCTCACAGTTTTCCTGTTTCTCCTCAGTCATGCTTGGGCGTGTGTTGCCTTATTGCACGCTGGGACAGACATAAAGTCATGCTCAGTGCCACTAACCATGTTGATCAAGACTCAACTATCCGTTATGCATGAAGTAAAAAATACAATCCATGCAATCCAGCAGTAAAATTAAGCGATTAAAGATGAACAGCCTGCCTGCCTGTGATGAAAAGTGCAGAGGAGGTTCATCATCATTAGATCCTGTCTGAAAGTGATGGCAGATCCTGAGTTTTAAACTGTTAATGCAGTTACGATGCTGCTGTGCCTTGCATAACATGTCTGCTAATTGTGACGTTAACATCAATCCATGTGTCGATATGAAAACACACTGATGTTGTGCCAAAACACGCCGTATACCACCCTCTTTGCAGCCTGTTTATCACCTCGTGCCTGAACTGTGCGCCTCTGAACTAGCAAAACACAGTCAGATATGAGCCAATTTACTCTGTCCGTACGTTTTATACAGGTTCCAAAGAGGTTTTGACTAACAGGTAGATGTTTGGTCATTATCTTATTTTGTCTTATTATTTAAGACCCAGTTCAGCACAGTGATAAACAAGTTAGCTTGAAGCATCAGGGATTTTAAGAGTGAGAAGATTGTCTTTTTAAAGGAATAAAATGTTGATTTCATACTTAAAATAAACATAATGTGGCTTCATAGTGGCAAGCAAGCTAGCTGATTCACATCTTGACGGACAAGGAAAGGCGTCCTTGAAATAGTTCAGATCGAGTTTTATGACCACTTGACACCAAACCACAGGGAACATGGGAGCGCTCCTCAACTTCAGCAGAACTTTTATGATTTTATTCAGACTTCAGAGATCGTCTTTGACATTTTGGAAAAGGTCTAAAATGTTGTTTAGTGCGAGCCCAGCAGGAGATTCATCTACAGTCTGAGCTTTTGACTCACCTCCACATGAGTCTAAAACTTTGGCGGCATTAACTGCGAATATCTGACAGTGTTACATTAGATGTGACAGAAAATGAGAAAAAACATGACCACCTCCATTCATCATGGAGACACGTCTGTTGCACAGTTTGACATTTTCTGGGAGAAGATTGCAGAAAATCTTGACCACAAGTATTTCGGGGAGTTTATTTGAGTCTGTGCTGTGATTTTTTTCACTCTGATCATCATTAATGATAAGTTTGTTTAAAAAACAAGCCAATGAACCCTTTTCTGATTTATAAAAAGTAGTCTTCTCTATGCTAATAGATTAAAAAAATTAAAATACAACACCTGTTTTTTTACTCTGTTTGGTCTCAAAAATCCTGGAGGGAGTATCGACCAGATAAAAAGCAGGACAGCAGGACAGGTGATTAGATTTCTGCAACATGTAACGCTAAAAAACACCAATACAGCTGATGAACTGTTATCTGTGCTGCTGTCCCCGGGCTTCACAGCAGCACTCTGTTGAAAACATCTTTAAAAAGTTGAAGCACAGGCAGAAGAAGAGCGGGCGTCAATAAAACCAAAGTCAAAGTAAACACGAGAAAAGAAAGAGACGAAGATGGGCTGAACGGTTATTTAGAGGAGTTTACAATAACAGAGAAGGTGAATGTTTGATATGTTGCTCCAGGACTATATTCAAAGACCATTAAACCACATTTTGTCCATGTTCTGAAGCACTACTTTGGATTTATTACCCATGAGTCATTGCATTGACTTTCACAAGCGACCTCCATCAGAGAGAGTCGTCAATGCTGTCAACGCCTCTGAAATGACAGACCAATAGCAAGTTGTAAAACTGCAAATGCACCGACTGTTTAAACATACTTTCATTCAATGTTGATCTTTTATGATACAGCTGCGTTTAGGACGGCTGATAACATAAAAACACTTTTTACAAACCTGTTCAGAAGCTCGCATTAATCACCTGGTGCTTCCCTGATTGACTTGTGCCGTCAGCGTCTTCCCAGAGAAAAGGTTCCCAGCATTCGTCTCTTTCCTGCTGAGCTGTTCTGCCATTGTTGACGGATAATTAAGAACGCTCGGCTCTTTTATTTTTTCCTGTTTGTAATTGCTGCGCCACAAGCAAGATGTGACAAATTATAAAGGGCGGACATAAATGGGCTGTGCAGGTGAATTCAGGTGAAAGCGGATTATTGATTTTGCGGAACAAATAAAGCTGCCTGAGAGAAAAGTGAGGGGACAAATCGAGGTGTTTAAGTGCGGACAATACAAGTTGTTCTTTAATGACTTCGCTCAAGGTTCACAAAGAGCATCTCCTGATTGTTCATTTTAACTTTAGGGATTTGCTGTGTATTCTTCTTGCAGACACAGAAACTATTTTAACTCTACATCTCTGCTCTCTGCAATCCCAGTAGCGTAGTTCTCTTTCTCCCCATTTCGGGGAACATTGTGACTCCAACCGGCTCTCTTACACTGAGATCAGGCGCTCTATTGACCCAGACATTGACTATCTTAACTCTGGATTTTCTGTCCTCTGGGGTGAGTCTGTGTGCTCAGTATTTCTAACTTCAAGACAGCATTTAAAGTCAGAAACACAACACAAAGTAATTTCTGCTACAAATGCATTGAAGGTGATCCTGCTGGGGATAAATCTGAGTAAATTTGGTCCCCTGGAGAATTCTCCATTTCTGTAATTAAGAAAGAAGGGTTGATGATCTTTATTCTTTCTCATTTCCTGCATCTTGTTTCAACTTTTTGACTAAAACATCACTCATTTGTGTGTTTACCCCTGCAGGAGTCAATGTCCTGGTTGCGCCAACCCGGTCAAAAAGTCTGGATACGTCCCTGGATGGAGCCAAGTCATTTCACCGTCATGCCAGCATCAAGGGTAGGACCAGAAAAATTGCAAAAGCGAGACAAGAGCCGGCCAAGCCGGTAGGGTGAATTCACACTCTGGGACACCAACGAGCTGTTGCAGGATCAGTGTGAGGATGTCATGATGGCAGCGGAGCTTTGTTTTGGTGCTGTTGCATACTTAGCATCATTAAAGCTTTTTATCTATATACACCACAAAAAAAGTTGCTCCTTTAACAGATTGCTACTTACCGCACCTTTAATGCACCTGTGGCGGCAACATCACTGACCTTAACATGGTTTAAAGTGACACAGTGAAACATCAGCATGTGGTATGGAGGAGCCTCGATTAATCTGCAGACCCATCTGACTCATGACACACTGTATTGAAAACAAGTAAACCAGACCATTATTATCTGCTGATAGTGTCATGCAGAGCACTTCCTCGGGGGCTTCAGATGCTGTTCCACTTAAGACTAATGGAAGTTGAGCATCGAAGTTTACAGCGCCTACAAGTCTCAAACTGTCTCTAAAGCTACTAATGTCTCACTGTTCGTTGTAGGGCAGGGTGGTACGGCCTAAAAATAACAGATTTTTTTTTTTTTACACTAAATCAGTTATGATTCAATCTTTTTTGTTCCTTCTTAAAAAATCACAAACAAATGACTCAAAAGAAGTATTCTTCAGCCCCTGGACTATCAGCCTACTTTGGCGGTCATCACATAGAAACCTGCAGAGTCCCATCAATTGTTGTTGGAGCTCATACTTGGGGTTTGATGATCTGAGCATGTGCGTAAACCCAGGCTTTTTCTCTGTGTATATGGGCATATTTTGAGGTTTTTGTGCGGCTCGGCTGCATGCCTCTGTTTAAGATTAAATGGGTTGAGCTGCTGCCTTTGCAGCGCACTGTTGTTTGTTCAAGGCCTGATGCTGCAAAACTGAACCAGTTTGAAACAACTGGGTGACAGGTGTGAACTTGAGCAGCCCGAGGGGAGCAGTGAAGGCTGTTAAAAAGAAAATCGAGATCTTACTTTTGAGACATTTGCTCAAACCATGAATTCATAGAAATCGATCTATCATCCAGTTTTTGGTGTTTCAGATCAGAACTCTAAAAACTGTAATAACATTATTAATAATGATCTGGAACAGCAAAGTTTTCTGTTGTTGTTTATTCCCTTCATTTTATCAAAGCCATCGCCTGTTTTGCTGTTATAGCACTGCTGTCATGGCGTCTTCTTATAACCCTACCTGTCTACTTTATGACACCTTTTATCGCTCCTTTCAAGTCTGATTTAAACGGCAATTCCTTGAAAGCTTTCTGTGTCTAGTATCACACACAGAGTCATCTTATGCCTCCAGGAGCTGCAGAAGCACTTGGTTATACATACAAGATGAACCACAGCGCATTGTCTGATTGGCTGATGATACCAAGAAAGTGCAGCAGAGATGCAACACAACACTAGCTGTTTAACCCACTGAGGTGAACACACTCAAAGATAAAAGCACTGAAGAAAGTTTGTGCATCACACACTTAAAAAAGTCAATTTATCTCCATTAATATTGCAACAGACCGGACTGATATTCTCATGAAGTACAGTGCAGAGGAATGCTTGTGTAACCCATCTGGCTCTGTCACAGTGATGAAGTTGTGATCAGAGTTCAAGGTTGCATCAAAACTCCACAGCTGGATTGTATTTCATATTTCTTGAGAGGACACTGGGGATGAGAAGCCTGACGTCATTCAGGAGGAGAACAGGAGGACGGGGGATTCAGTGATGAGTGAACTGAGGCATGTGTGGAGGGTGAACCACCCAAACTGCAAAGTGCAAAGATCGGATAACTGCATGATGGGATGAGAGAAAACTCCCTGACATGGAAAAAAAAAGGAGTGCATATGGAAAATAAATTAGTCTTTAATGGGAATCCTCCCCTTCAGCTTTCATCGTTAACTTCAGATACATCCTTTTGAACTGGACTCAGGGTGGGGCGAGAAGCTGAGGGCGAGATTTCTTTGATGATCTGCTGTAAAATTTTGCTGCTAACACTTAAAAAAGTTTTTGAACCATATTCCTCCTGGTGCCCTAATAAAGACTCAGAGTTAAGCACAATGTTTCCACCATTACATATAAAGTTTTTCATACGCTGACGCCCTCCTTTTGCTCTTCGGCTTTCTCATGGACAACCAGCTGATCCCATTCGCTTCCATTTCAAGTGTGCAGGACAGTCGGGTGGCAAGAGGCAAATTTCGCCCCCTACTTTATTTCTCCTAGAAGAGTTCATACCTGTCTGTCTTCAAACAGGTGAAAGGAGCAATAGACTGAATTGATATTTTTTTAGCTCCTTACTTTTAAGAGAAATAACATGCACAACCACGAGTTGTCTTCTTAAAGGTATGGTTGACAGAGAGATTGGTAATTATTTCAAACCTCATTTATGGCGATCATGGTCCTATAGTGTGATCTCCACAAAGCGAAGGGAAAAAACATTGAAAAAAATCCGTTCACCCTAGTAGGTGCAGGGCTGCAAAAACACTGACCAATGGGAGCCATCCATCCCAGACAGCTCCTATTGGTCAATCTCCTGCTCCGCCTCTACATTCAATCACCTTGCTGTATTCGACACACCCCTCTCCCGTAGTTCTGACTCGTCCCCTCCCACTCTCCTGACCCTCCTTTTGCCCAGGGGTATCATACATGTATATATTTATATAACCAGTTTTGCTCCAGACTTACACACTTAGTGATGCACAAGGTAGCTGACTAGTTAAGCATGGTCTCTGATGTGTTTCCTCCTGAACCACGCCCTTGACAGTTATTGGTGTCCGTGCTCATCTATCCTTCTGTTATCATTTTGTGGTAATGTCTGGACCACCATATTACCATGAACCATCATTTCTATGTCACTTCTGTCCATAAACAGTATATTTACAGCGAGCTTTAGATTTTTTTTTATTTTCTGCTCTAGTACATCTCTTCTTTAAATTCAAACCTTGGACTTGGTGGTTTTCAATTATTAATTTCAGCTGGTGAATTAACAAAAAAACCTTGAATTCTTTCAAGCCCTTTCATGCTGATTAAGACCCCACAGTGTGAACGCCATGACAGATTTGTTAGGTTTTTGTTAACCAAAGGAGATTGTATTCAGGTAGAAGAGAAAACGGCTCTAATTTGGCGTTTTGTTTCCTATCTGAACTCCAAAAATAAAACCGTTCGTTGCCACCTGTGTGATCTAGAAGTCGAACACCCCTTGGGTCCTGGCTAGTTATTAAAAGCAACTTTCTGCCAGTATCAAGGCTTCATATACTATCTGAACAGCCCTCATTTCTGTACCTTTCCTTTTTATGCCCAGCGGCAGTGGCACGTTGTGCCTTTGCCTCACTTTTTAATCACTCAGACTTACCCTTCCAAGGCTTCACCTTGTCCTTGTGATGTGATGAAAAGCCAACGGGGGGGGAGCCAGACAAAGTCGAGGGAGCCTGGCTTTGATCTAACCACGGCTCAAAGCCCCATACACTCATAAAACGGCCAATGATGCCTTGTTTGGACCGGAGAGTAGCCGATGGGAATTCCAGATGTTTCCTGGGTGTCCTGCAGAGTGAGAGATGGGTAAACACGGACAACATGACCCAAGGGCAACCTTTAAACCCAGGCTTACAGTCATTACATGTATCACACACTGTGAATCGACCTTGTAAGCTGTTGCCCTCCTGACACAAAGCTCCACTCATTTGGAAAATATCAAAGCAAGATCTTCCAGTAGTAGTGTAGCCTAATGATGCGGTTGTAGCACATGCCAACTGATTGGAACGGTATATCATGTGGAAAGATCGACATACAACGACTAGCAGACTTTCCTCCTAAAGGGTGACCTGACAAAGAAAGTCTAACAAGTGTTTCCAGGCCTTTCTGTGCCGTGCAGCCGAGCAAGAACACGGCAATGATTATAAATCAGAGTAACAATTGAACATGATGACACACAAAGAAAGTGACAAAGTGTGAACGACTGACGTTACTCGTCTGAGAGGGTTTTATGAGGACTTTGATTATGAGACGCCGTAATGAGAATGTATAACATCTCAATTTAAAGTGGATGTGATGAAGACAGGGCAGGAGAAGAGCTCTGAATGGAAATGAGTGTGAAGACATGCTGAGTACATGACTAAAGATTTCATCAGCAGGGAATTTCACCGTCAAACCAAACCTAAATGGAGGACAGGTTCCTGGACTTTGAGAGGGGGGGAATATGTAACACGACACATGGGAGATCATGTTTTCACTAATATTCATTAATGCCTTCCCCCATTTTCGGATATCGAAACAACCAGACTCCCGGTTAAGAATTTTTTTTTTGTATGATGGTAGGGGAATGTCCCGCCCTCCTTCACCTCTGATTGGCAAGAAGTGCTGGGCTACGATTGGTTATTCCTAATGGCTGTGAAACATCATCGTCTGTCGGGTTAGGGTTAGGGTAAGGATGAGGGTTAGGGTTAGGAGATTCAGAAGTGCAATAATGTTCTGTAATGTTCTGTTCGACATATAGAGCCGACAGCTCACGTGTGATGACGCTACCAGCTTTTCTAGCCAACCAGAGGTGAAGGAGGTGTGACTTTCCCCCTACTGTCCTATGAAAAAAAAAAAAAAAAACGCCTCCCAGTTCACCAGATACCTGTCAGACAGAACACGTGATGGCTGAATTTGCCTCTTCTTCACCAAGGGTGTGCCCCAAGGTTCGATCTTTGGACCTTTTTATTTTCCATTTGCATCAATAATCTCTGTGATTCCTTGTTAAATGCCTGATATCATTTTTATGCTGATGATATCATTGTTTATTTCTGTTCATCTTCAATAATGAAGGCTCTTGAGTCAGTTAAACTTAAACTGCTTTTAAATGCAGATTAAACCAGTGTTATAATGTGTGTTATTAGCTGATTTATATGAATTATTTCTTTTATTTAGCTTTATAATTTCACCCACAAATAAATGCATTTCATGTAGATAAAACAAAACAACAACAACAAAAAAAATAATCACAGTTGGATGAAACTGTAGGCTGAAGCTTATTCTTTCCACTCTCTTAGATGACATATGCAGCAAAGGCACTACTAAGTTAAGTACAAAAAAATAAATAAAAGTAAAAACATATCGTGCAAAAGGACAGACGCAAAAAATTTCTCAGGTGACGCTGAGCTTTACTTTCTCCATACATCCTGATTCTCCCTCAGAGCTTGTGAACTTCTTGTATCGATAACCTTTCTGTCTTTAAGAGATTATGACGACGTGCTTCAACCAAACGTTGACTGTCTTTAAACACTTTGTTTATCACAGTGTGATCGTTGTCACTGGTCGTACATGCTTCACTCATCATTGTGGCCTGTTTGCTAAATCTGATTGGCCACCTTTGAAGGCATGTATACACACTGGCCGAGTGTGATTAACAGACCTCTTCTTGGCTCAGTTCCCTCTCGTTTGTGTACTCATCTGTAAAGAACTAAAAGTCCTTGTGATCCTTTCCATCTGTTTGTTCCTCGTGTACGCACTCAGCTGAGAAAAAGAGCGTTCACTTAAGAGTGATTGAAAATT